TTAAAAAGAAAGATGGATTTACGGTAACAATTACTTCGCAAGAGTTTAACCGCTGAGTTCAGTTCAGCCCCATTGTCTCGATGAGCCCTGGTAACAAAAACAGAGTGAAGCAGTCCAGTGTGTAAATGCTGTTTGTTCAGTTGGTCAGGGCCACCAGAGCCTCCACCACGTTCCCCATGTGTTCCCTCAGACTGCGCTCCGCCACGGCCCTGGAAATCTCCATCTCTGACATCTGCACAGGAACACGAACATCAGAATATGATCATAATGTAAGAATCGAAAAATAGGCTTCAACTAAGTCACAAAACTAGTTGTGCATAACTTTAACTTGTTACAGACTTCATGAAATGACACAATTGCAAGTAATCCGTAAGTGGGATGCACAGTTAAATGGGAAAACTACAGTCTGCAGACCATTTCTTGATTAAACATAATGGTGACTCAGGAAACGGTGCACAAGGTCAGGTCCGTAAAGAAATGGTTTCCCCAGTATTATGTGAAACTTGACTGGCCTGCACAGAACCATATGTTCTATGCTCTTGACTGAACGGGTGACTATAACTGGCAAATATCTGCAGCAGGTTATAACGTGGTGGAAAACCATCCCAAAAAAGTGGAGGCTGTAAAAGCAGCAGATTAATAATGCTTGTAGTTTTTGAATGACATCTTTCATTATCACATGGGTGTACTGTTCCAGTATCTACATACACTCGCTGATGTGATCTACCAAATAGATGTGTGGCTCGACAGGCTAATTTCTGTATTTTTCCAACCCTGGTCCCAGTTTCACATATTTTTGTGCCAAAATGACTACTAAGTAGTAGAAGATAAATTCAGGTGCCAGTGGCTGCAAAGTATTCCTTCGGGGCAAAATTACGTCGACAGTGTTTTTTTGCTCCGTCTAAAATCTCACGAGAGGTGAGGTGATTGAGGAAGAAGACGATTCATGACGTTGACAGACACCTGGTTAAATATCCTGAGCCCGTTTGTGGCAGAAAAAGCAGTATTTGTGGACGTCATTTAGATGGGCACAGGCTGCGGCTGCTGGCTGAAGCCATCCACTGCACAGATTCCAAAACTTGTTGCACCCACTAATCATTTCAACCCCAAAATATGTGAAAACAGGGTTTAAAAATTCAGAAATTATCCTTTAACATCACAAACAGATTCTTAGATTTAAAAAAACTACTTACAATTAGTTCCACATCCTCTTTTTTGATGGTGACTTTGGCCAACTCTTTTTCTCTGGAAGCAAAACAATACAAAGTGAGAACAATCAACAGGTTCTCTGTTTTCTGCATAAAACAACCGACTGCAAGCAAAACGGTAAAATATAAAATAAATCCCTCAACCTGCAGATTACAAACGCTACTTTCCTTCTCTTGGTCATCTGTGGGTTTGCTTTTCGTGTTACACACACACGTTCTGCCAACATGTAAAAGCTGGGAGGGTGACGCTGATCTTACCTCTCTTGTTTGGCTTTCTGTTCTCGCGACCTTCTGTCCCCAATCACTGACATTGCCTGAAAGAAAAATAACGTTATTAGTATTTATGTCATCTTCACCCAGTTTCAAATATGAAAGCCACAGTAAGTGTAACACCACAACAGACAACGTCCAACAGGTTTTATTTAACTAAAACCTCTGTTTCACCCATGAACAAAGGGATTCACCTGTACTCGAGTACATTTTATCACAGTTTTCCCACCATTTTAAAGGTTTTAAAATATAACAATCTATTCATTTTAAAATAAAGCACAAATCAGCTGCTGTACTTACATATGTGATATTTGACCACTATCACAATCTAACTTTGTTGACACTATTAATAGCACAGTATTGAAAACAATATCTCTCATCAGAAATACTTTATTGATCCCCAAGAGGAAATTCTTGTGTCACAGAATTTCCCCAGTGGCTCATATTTCACTTTCATCTACTAATGAACTCCTCTCCATAATTTTGGCTGATTTAACAGAGTAAGAAACTGGGGATGAGACATATATTGAGACTTACCATTTAGAAGAAAATGTTATGTGGTATTCTTTTTAAGAAGTAGTTACTTATCTTATTTATATAGTTTAAAGCTACAGGGAGAGTGCACATTAATAGACATTTCTGCAAATGTTCCAGTTTAGCTAGCTTGGCTAATTTTCGACTGCAGTCCCTGATACACGCTTGTCATCTAATTTATATACTGCAAAGCAACATAATAATTCACGTCTCCCTGACAGTGGACTTTACATTCCTGAACATATATGGTGAGATAGATATATCATATACTTATTTTCCACAACAAATTACAGGTAGAGCATCTGCATCTTAAAAGTAATTCAACCAGAGTTTCAAAAAAGACAAATTTACTTTTAGTGGTTCAATGTCAAACACTAAAGAAAGAGCAACAAACAGCTCTGAACTCATGAGATCTGATTACAGAGAAAATATTTCCAAACATTATTCTGCTGGTATGTTTTATCTAAAGCTGAAGAAAAACGCTGATTCATTGATTAGTTAATTAACAGAAAATTAATTGGCAAATATTCTGATTATCGACGCCTTATTAGTTGTATAAATAAACAAACACGGAAAAAAATCTTTACAATATCTATCTTGAGGGTTTAGACCAATCAAGATGTCACTGTGGGCTCTCAAAACTTGTGACAGACATGTTTCACTACTTTTAATTTTAATTGTTCAATAAAAAAGAATTAAGCCACAGATCTTTCAATAATAATTAAAAAAAAGATTGTTAGTTAAGATTGTCATCCTTATCCTGTCCTTTAATAGTGTTTTGGACCTGGTTGTTCTCAAATTCTGAAGACATATTTTGGTGCAATAGATAAGACGCCTGCTTTTGATGTGAGAGACCCGGGTTCAATCCCCCACTGTGTCCCTGAGCAAGACACTAGTTACTCCAGAGGCGTGCGACCTCTGACATGTATAGCAATTGTAAGTCACTTTGGATAACAGCGTCAGCTAAATTAATAAATGTAATGTAAATGTAACATTTAATTCTGTATCCCTCCTAAAGCTTGATAGAAGCTTGTATGAACTATTAATACAATTCATCGCACCAATTAATTTCTACAACTTACATTTCACATAAGTCAGTTTTGCAATACAGATGTAGAAACGACACATAATGTGTTATTTAATAGAAAGACTACTCCGAATGTTTGGTCCCACTTGACATCTTGTCACCATTAGGAAATTATTTTGACTATTTTGGAGAACAGTGGTGTTGAGAATCCCAAGAATGATTTTCTGTAAATACCAATCTGACATACTTTAATTGTAATGTTGGTTTGACGTTATTCTACTAATGTTGTGCTAGTTTAACTTGTTTCCTCTGTTTACTTGTGTTAATTATTAGTTTATTTGTCACTGTCTTGTTACAACGTTGGTTCAATGAAGCAAAAGGGGAAAAAAGGGCATGACAGCTTTAGCTAGCTAAGTTGGCTATGAGGCAGTTAGCCAGGTAGTTAATAGTTTACTGCACAATTACCAATGTTGTTAACTTTCTTTTAGCATGTGTTATTCAAATAAAGCTCTAGCTAAAGACATAGTACACAACTTTTGCAAGCTAACCCCTTCGCACAGTTTGGTAGCACTGATGATGTACCGACAGTGCAGCCAGCAGTGGCCGCATGTGGCTAACGTTAGCCCGGAGCTCTCACCGTTTCTAAATCAGAGCTGGAGATTTCCTTCTCCTCCGCATAGTCCGTGACTCTCTCCAGATCAGCGGCTCCGCTGTCATGTTTCCGAGGCTTTTCTGCCGGCTTTCCAGTGCAGTTTTCGTCGGCTTCCAGGTCCAAATCGACATCTCCCTCTGCCGCCATGTTTGCTCCAGTGAGGCCGGAACTAAAAGAAATGTTCCGTTAAACCTCGGAGAGTAAACTGGGAGGGACCGGAAAGGAAAATTTTAAGAAGAAATCCGTAGATTTAAAATATATATGAATATATATATATATATATATATATATATATATATATATATATATATATATATATACGGTCGTATATAAATATAAAAAATATATAGAAGAACTTATATAAATATAAAGTTAAAAAAAAAATTGACAAGATATAAAAAATACAAAGGAACATTAAGAATGTAGGTTCAAATCCTGGTTGCCCCGACCTTTCTGTGTGGAGTTTGCGTGTTCTCCCCGTGTATGCGCGGGTTCTCTCTGGGTGCTCCGGGTCCTCCATCCAAAAACATGCAGCCTTGGTTAATTGGTGACTCTAAATTGGTGGTTGTGAGCTGTCCGGGGTGAACCCCGCCTTTTGCCCGATGTCAACTGGGATATATATAAAAAATCCCCCTCTCACCCTCCTTGCGGGGTGGTATGTGTCATCCTCAAGCTCGGGTCTTCTACCGGAGGCCTGGGAGTTTGAGGGTTCTGCGCAGTATCTTAGCGGTTCCTAGGACTGCAGTCTTCTGGACAGAGACCTCTGAGGTTTCACCTGGAATCTGCTGTAGCCACTCTCATAGTTTGGGGGTCACGGCCCCCAGTGCTCCGATTACCACTGGCACCACTGTTGCTCTTACTTTCCACATCTTTTCTAGCTCCTCTTTCAGCCCTTGGTATTTCTCAAGCTTCTCGTGTTCCTTCTTCTTGATGTTGCTGTCTCTTGGGATCGCCACATCTGTCACTGCAGCCTTCTTCTGCTGTTTGTCGATCAACACGATGTCTGGTTGGTTCGCCATCACCAGTTTGTCAGTCTGGATCTTGAAGTTCCGCAGGATCTTAGCTCAGTCATTCAACTACCTCAGGAGGCGTCTTCCATTTTGACCTTGGGACTTCCAGCCCATTCTCATGCCAGATGTTCCTGTACACTATGCCAGCTACCTGGTTATGGCGTTCCATGTACGCACTTCCTGCCTGCATCTTACACCCTGCTGTTATGTGCTGTACTGTCTCAGGGGCATCCTGCCTGGGTTGGTAGACCTCAGCCTCTATTGATCTTGTACTGAGTGCCTGTTCTTGTGCCGCCATGATTAGTGCTTCTGTGCTGTCCTTCAGTCCAGCCTTTTCCAGCCACTGGTAGGATTTCTTGATATCAGCCACTTCTTCTATTTGTCTGTGGTACATGCCGTGCAGCGGCTTATCTCTCCATGACGAGATATATAGGGTCGCGGGGGGCTGGAGCCAATCCCAGCTGACATCGGGTGAACCTTTTATGAAAGCAAAAAAAGAAACGTCTCTGGCCAAGATACCCAAATTTTTCATGCCATGAATTCACGTATTGGCTGTAATTGTGCAAGATGTATAACAGGATGTGGTGTGACAGCAACACTGAAAAAACTAAAATCTAAGTACGATTAATTATCTTAATTGAAGGCAAAATATACTTGTTTTTTGGCCGGCAAGATATTTCTTCTTACGAGGCAGCTTTTATGTTAGAGAATTTCACTTGTTTCAAGTTTTTTTGTACTTAAGTAGGAAGTGAAATGTTCTTGTTCCGTTGGCAGATAATTATTACTTAATTATTTTAAGTAATATTTCCCTTTTTTCCTTGTTTCTGAGAGCTCAGTTTTTGTAGTGAAAACAACAAACTGACAAACTCAGGTGTGTCTCCTGCCTCACTGCTGAATGTCCACGTTCTCATGCTTATGTGATGTATAAGTATGTGTAATTCAAGCTTTTCATCTTTACACTAGTTGATATAGTGTACCACAGTTAAGGTCTTCAAAATGTAGGCCAACATTGACAGATACATCAGATCTACACTGTACATTCAGCAGTGAGTCTGTACTTGTAGAAGCTTACAGTATGGTTGATCTACAGTGTTTACCTTCATTGTATCAAAATGCAATGAGAGATGCCAACGTCTCTGGAGATGCACAAACTGATAAAATAGTCTACATAAATTAATTAGATTAACATTATCATGAAATGACAATGGATCTCTATGGCTGGATTGCTGTTGCACTCTGCATGTATACTTTCATCTCCAAAGTAAAGAGCACGCAGCGGTCAAGAGTCCCAGAAACTAACCAGTACTCCAATACTGGAATAATACTAAACTTACTCCAGGTTTTTTGTGTGTCAAGTAGTCGTTTGGTTAATTAAATGCAACATTTTTATTTATGAATCTACTCCATGTGAGCACATTATAAACTGAAATAATAAAGATCTTAAAGGTAGATTCTGACACAGAGCCCGTATACAAGACACTGACACAAGATTAGGCTTGTAATGGTGCAAACTCCCTGACAAATTGGAAATTAATATAACACAAACCAATTTACAATTAACACACAGTGAAATTGGGGCTCTGTCTCTGGGGCTTTGATTGGTAATTGAGCCTTGTGTATCTTTGACAATAAAAAAAAGTTAGGTGAATTTCAGTACTCTTCAGTAAGTTTATTTTCATGCCATATTAAAATTAATGTAAACTACTACTTGATGTAATATGCACAAAATCTGAAGAATCCAAATACAAAATTGCCTACTTTAAAAAAAACAAGAAGTCGGATAAGTGTTTTTTCAGAAGTACAGGAAAATTTCTCATAGGTTTCCTCGCAACTACTTTACTTTATCAGCAACTTTACGCAACATACTTTTTACATCCACCAAATACTCCCAATTCATCGAGGACAGCGGGACATGAGGTATTTCCAGTTGAAAGTGCATTTTGTGAGTTAGAATTACATTAGAATTACAATTATTAAACTATAAACCTACAATAATCTTTGTTCTGAACTACAAAAAAATTGTTCATTTATTGTCAGTCGAGAGAATTACTTACTTTCTTTTTTCACCTGAAGTCAAGGCCTTAATTTCTGATTTGATCCCATGTTAATCAGCAAGTTTAAGACACATATTGTGTATATGTCTGATTAATCAGATTGATCTACTGTCTTGTTATTGTCTGAGAGATGATGAGAAAAAAGTGGACTTTTAACTAAATCAGTGTGCTCCTCCTCGTTCTATTCCTGTCTCTTATAAGAGGTTTACTTGTACTTCAGTACAAATAGCCCTTCAACCACTGAAACAGATTTCCTGTGTCTGCAGACTTTCTAGCTCTTTCTTGTGCTTGAGCTTTATCTATCCACCTACCAATAATCAGATTAAAGGAAAGAGAAACCTGCTCACGGCTTCAACCCTGAGCAGGACTGAAAACCACTTCAGTGCTCTCTGGTTTACCTGGTTCATTCTTCAGGAGATGTATGTGGTCAGGAATAGCTGGAGGAATGGCACCGGGGCCGGAGAGACGTCGCTGTCATCACACCAACCCCTTCATCCTGCTGTATGACTGATGACTGTCTGACTTTTCGGAGCTCTCGTAGCCTCAGGACTCAGGGACGAGATGTCAGGACGCTGCTTCCGGGCTCAGGTGAGACATTTGTTTCATGGTGAGATGATCAAAGCATTAAAGATATCTCTTAGGGTGGAAAAGAATAAGAAAAAGAAGAAAAAATAAGCAAGGGGTAACAAGGGCAATCACACAAAAATGTTTGGACGAACATGTGAAAGAGTTTTTCTTAAACCAGGGTAACACTTACATCTTGGACAATTATAATAATAACAATAATAATTAAGTGCAGACAAGGTAATAAAATATATAAACACATAAAAAACAACAGAGCTGCTCAGACATTCATTCAGCAATATTGCACAAGCCTTAGTAACTTAAGTAAAGTGACAGTGTACACAGCATTTGTGAGTTATTTTTGGCAGCATTTAATGCACTGGTTACTGTGGAATAGCAACTGTTTTTTAGTCTGTTTGTTCTTGTTTTGAGAGTCCTGTATCGTTTGCCTGATGGCAGCAGAAGACACCATCATTATGGGGTTTTTGGGTGGGTAACTGCCCCGGAATCGCAGAGAAGCGTGGACACAATGCCACAATTCACACTCTTGTCCATATAAAATGGTGGGCTTATGTATATCCTACTGAGAAGCCATCAATCCAATAGAGTAATCAATTAAGGAAACATGGAGTGTTTATGTTGCTTGGGGAGTTGACCTTACACAACAATATAAACTTCAGAAAGATTAGATGCAGCTCTATGAATGTTTGAAGTCACAGTCCCTCTTTCAGCTGATCTGTGTCCTTCCAATTCATTGCTATCAGTCTTTTATCTGTCATGCATCCAGTTGTTCTTTCTGGACTATTTTACTAGTCTGTCATCACTGGAATTCCTCAGAATATGAGCAGGTTGTGCACTCAGTCATGCCACAGTTATGAATGGGTACATTGTGTTTCTATGGAAAGGACAATTCTTACTACTTGTAGTTACGTGTGAGTCATTTAAATACCCAGTTTTTTATTTACCTGTCTTAAAAACATGTTTAAAAAACATTCCTGTTCAAAAACACCTCAAAAAGAGTCCTAAACGAATAATGAATGGATCATTTTTCTTGTCCTTTTTTGTAAACAAGCATGGATTTCAGCCAACCATAATTGCGCAAGCCTGTTGAAACCATAGATTGAGCGCTTTCACTCAAGCGGCGATTTGCATCCGCTTATTTGCTTTTGTTTGTTCTCTTTGGCACTTCCTCCTCTCCCACAAGGCAGCAGCAATTATCTGAGAGTGAAAGGGGCCCCCAGGAATGCCGGGCCGCTCAGAGCAACACATGTTTATCACAGCGATTTAGTGGTTTACACCCGCTCAACCTGGAGGGAATAATCCAAAGTGAGATTAAGGGTATTATGTGAAATAATGGTTGTTTTTAAACTTGTGGTGACTTTCTTAATCCCTACATTTCTGGTTTGTCAACTTCATGGTGGTGCTAGATGAAAAGTCAGGTGATAACCAAGGTCAGTAGGACGCATCCTCATGTGTCCATCAATCTCTGCACAGAATTCCTTGGCAATAAATCCAGTAGTTGTTGAGATGTGTCAGTTTGGGCCACAGCAGTGGAACGACAGACTGACACTGCCATCCCATGAGCTGCTAGCATGACTAAGAATTCTTCCCTTGACAGAAGTTAAATAGCACACATGTGAAAGAAAGTTTGGTTGTGACGGCTGATTAAATGAATATGAAATAATATGTGACAGTGTGTTTCTAGCTGTTGTTGTTTGTTGTTGTTGTTGTGGATGGTAGGGGAAGTGGTTCCTCTGCACACGCCTTGTACTTCTCTGCCGTCATCAGCTCCTCAGACTGATAATCCTACAACTGTTGATTTGCTTGAAGGTTCAGAGAGTCTCCATTCACTGGGTTTGTAAGTCCAAGCCTCTTAGCTGAGTCTGCACCAAGCTGACATTTCCTCTTATTTAACCACTTGTTAGTTACTCAGTTCCTAGAAAGGGAACCTGGACAGACTGTGGCTCTTCTCAAGAATTACAGCACAAGTTTTGGCACAGACTTCTTTTTTTTTTTACGTGCATGTAAAGGCCTAAAAACATCTTATCCTACTAAAGAAGTTACGCTGCAGACGAACATGACAGCAGCCAAATGTGACAAAGTTAATTACACCTGTACTGAAAACACTTACAGCACAACAGTATAGCATTGATTTCATAGTATTACGGTTTGTTTCCTAGGCCGTAAATCAGAATCAGATATTCTTTATTGGTCCCTGAGGGGAAATTCTTGTGTTACAGTTGCTCACTTTGCACACAAAGGCATTACAGGAATATAAATAATAATAGAAAGTTTATAAGTAGTATATAAAAGTATATATAAAAATATAAATAGGAATGTGAAAACATGTACAATATTTTACAGTATATGACACAAGTGTTATGAATATATAGTAGTAATAATAATGTGTACTGATAAGGTTGAAGTGGAATGGATTAAAAATGTTTTGCTGTAATGCACACGAATGGACCTGTGTATGTTATGTTACACGTTGCTTCTTGCTCTTTGAGGTTAATTCTACACTGCTTTTCTCTTCTCTGAATGTGTCGTCATTTTGAGTAGTTTCTTTACAGAAACCCTACCCTACCAAACCAAATAATACAAATACAACATGCCATACATAATAAGATTCATTTTTTAGACACATGTAAATGTTAATAAAGTCAGCCTGTAGATTAGAAAGCCCCACAGTATTAGTATTAGTATAAGTAGTATAAGTATTCATAATAAAATTTTACTGACGCTTTAAGAAATGTTTCCATTGCAGAAATTCAGTATGTGATATATTATGCTATGTAATACTTGTGTGTTGTGTGTTTTTCATGTATTTTAATAATAATAATAATATTTTATAAAATTGTATCTAAAATTTTGAAATTCTTCTGTATGTGTCAGATGTAGGTAGTATGTATTGATGAATCACAATTTGCTTTAAAAGAAACATGCGTTAGCCATTTCTTTCCTCATCAACAAATTATTTTAGCCCAAGTGGCTAATGTGAAATATAGTTTGGAGTTTTATAAGTTTTAAAGCATTGACTATTTGGACGGGTTTAATAAAATTAAACTGAGTTGACATGAGGCCTTTTGCCATGCGCCATAAACTACATACACAATTATAAAGAAATATTATTTTGAGAGCTCAATTTAGAGAACTGTTTCATATCTGATTTTTAAAAAAAAGCCCTTGTTGCTTCTGATTGGAAATCGGTTGGTGCATTCGGTTAAAGGTTGTGGACCTGTTGTTCACTGAAGTGAGCAGTGGTGGAGGAAGTATTCAGATCCTTTATCCTTAAGTAAAACAACTAATACCCCACTGAAAAAATCCTCTGTTGCCCAAATAACAATTTTTTGTAAAAATTTTCTGCATTTAAAATGTCTCTTAAGTATATATAAGTATATATTAGAGTGTAATCAAAATCATTAGGTTTTTATTCCTCATGCTCATTTTGAACTATTTAGTGTCAGACCGCAACTAATGATTATCTTCACTCAGGATAATCTGCTGATTAATTTCTCCATTAATCAATTGACTTTGTATAGATTGTAAAAATTCAGAAAATAGTGTAAAATGCTGTCACAATTAACCAGAGCCCGAAGTGACACCATCAAAATGCTTTTTTTGTTCAACCAACACTCCATATCTCAACCTCAAGCAGAAAGTGGCATGAAGTGGCACTTGAGTAAAAGTACTTCCACCACTGGAAGCGAGTAATCTAAATTCAACAGGTGTGTTGCTAGGTGAGATGCAGTGCAGTGTTTGATTGGACAGCCTCTGGCTCAGTGCCGCCCGTCTGTGGCGTCTCAGAGAGTGTAACAGCTATTAATGTCCTGTCTGGGCTGGTGAAGGTCATCCTGACTGAGAGGAGGGCTGAACAACGACAGGATTAACCTGGCGCTCCGCCCTGCACACTAACCCAAATCTAATCTGACTCTCTCCTCATGCACTCAGCGCTTTTTAACAGCTACCAGAGACATAGCTTCATTTCACTGCTGCTGTGCCGCACAGAAAACAACCTCAGTGTTCCTACTGCCTGTCAACAAATGGTGCTGACAATAACTGAAAAACAGTTAATCAATTAAGGTGTCACCAAATCAAACAAATGAAGAATCTTGCGGATCATCACAACAATTATGGACATATAGAAACTGCAATATTTATGTTTATTTCCATCCATCGTCAACCACTTATCCTGCGTACGCCCCCGCGTTCGGGCAAAGGGCGGGGTACACCCTGAACACACAACCAGTCACGCTCACACCTAAGGACAATTTAGGGTCATTAGGGTTATGCATAGGGTTATTTTTGCATAAAAGCCTATATCATCTGTTTGGAATATTGACATTGACACTTGACAAGAGTTTCAAAATGTATTGCTTTGCACAGAAAATGTTCAAAACAAACATTTCTGAGCAGCAGGTGTGTTTGCAGAAATAAGTCATATTAATGATAAATTACATTATTAGTTCCCAATGTTTTCAACTAATCCCTAAAATAGTGGACCTCTAAATTTGATGGGAAAAAGTGAATGTTACTAACATACCTTTTATGATGATAGGAAATTAGAAATGCAAATAATTTGAAAACTAAAATATTAGTTGCAACTAAATTTGTATGCTGTGTCTGATGCTTTTCTGCCTTCCATTAGTGCCCCATAAAATCCATTGGCCTGTTTAGTATTAAGCTGTAAGCACATCTACTAATGCACCCTGTCTTTGTTGATACCATCACACACAGCCCTGCGTCCAGTCAGTCCCACTTCAGTGTTTCTGGGTCGTAAAGCAGTCGTGATAATTTGTTAGGATTATGGACCTGGCCTCTTTTTGTGAGTGGCACACTGACTCAGACTTGGACAAGGGCTAAGGGTGGGGGGTTTGTAGGTGGGAGGCTTTTAGGTGTCAGGCATCAGCATCTAGAAATCACACACGGGGTAATTTTTTAATTTTGTAAATCTGGATTAAACGCAAGTATTGCCCGATCCCATTGTACTGGTGGGTGCGGTGCTGGGGGAAGGGAAGGGAGGGACAGATGGGATTGACACATGGTCCCTGTCCTCCTCTTCCTCCTCCTTCTCACTCCCTCCTCCCCTCACACACTCTTTGCTTAATCTGAGCGGGTAGGACGGGGGGAGGATGAGGGAGGGCACCGGGCATTCGCTACCACCTCTCCCTCTTTTCTGGCAGCACCCAACACAGCCGCAGAGCCAAGCACGCAGGATATGGGCAAAAAAACAACTTATTCCCCTGTGAGGCTGGACTGAGAGCAAGTGAACCGGCGTTCATGCTGAGGCTCTCGGCTGCAGGGAGCCCAGTCAGACTAGATTTACTGCTAATCCAGCATAAGGAGCACGAAGGGACAACCTGCTGGACTTTGTGGTTTTACTTTTTATTTTCATTTTCTAACAGGCCTGTTAGAGGGAGTTATGTTCTGGCCTCTCTGAGGATGTGAGGATGCCATCTTTGCAGGCACGCTGAGAAAACCTGTTTGTGCTGGAACTTCATGGCCAAATGTAGAGTTGTGGTGGCCGACGAAAAGCAGTTTAGAGGCACAATGTCGGCCACTCAGGGGATGAACCACAGCGGTGTCTACAACTACTTCCTCAACATGGTGGCCTATCAGGTGAGAGCTGATGAGCAGCAGCACAGGAGGCAGTGACTGCAGCTGGAGTTTGAAGCGCTTGTGTTTTGTTCATTGTCAGATTAGTTACTGATTGTAAGACAAAAGCTAATTTGTATTTATCAACAACAATACTGGTTGAGGGAATTAATTGTTTCAAAAGCTACAGAAATATTGCGAGGCTTTTCTTTTCAAAATATTAATTTAATAATATACATATATATATATATATATATATATATATAAAATATACTTAGTGGTGGAAGAAGTATTCAGATATGTTCTTGAAATAAAAGTAGTAATACTGGTGTAGAAATTCTCCACATCCATGCAATAGTATTATCAGAAAAATACACCTAAATTACTTTTTATACAAAAAAAGTGTAATATTATTACATTTTACATTACTGGATTATTATCACTTATGCGTAAACATGTAAGAAATCTGTCAAATGGGTTGACACATTATTTTAATGTTGTACCTGTGTCGAAAGTGGATCTATTTTTTAAAATGCTTTTGGAAAGTTGAATCTATAATAAGTCATCATATTTTGTAAGTGAAATATGAATCTGCAAAGTAACTATAATAAAAACAATAACTATATTAATTATATAATATATTCATAATAACAAATGCAGTGGAGTAGAAGTTTAGAGGTACAGCAATACTTGGGAAGGACCCAGGTACTAAAAGCAGCTCAAAAATGTACTTCAGCACATGTACTTAGTTATGATGTTCCACTCCTGTGTTGACCACATAAATTTTGTCTCTAGGCATGTTGATTTTCATGTTTGAACTTTCACTGGTGGGTTTGTCAAAACACCAGGAACATCTGCACAATCTAATTCAGCTATAAATCCTGCCTTTCTGAGGTTTAAAATGTTCTTTTTGTTGATGGTGTGTCAGAGAGATGTTCTTGGGGGCCTTAGTTTCAGGTGTTGCTCCACTAGAAACTTTTTTCTCTTAAATTTCTCTAAAAAGTCTATATTTTGGGCTGCAGAGTGATTAAAGCAGTATTTAGTCAAATGCAATTCGTTAAGAGTGAAGTATAGTCAGTATGGATATGTACATGGAGCATCTGTAAAGCTACAAAGGGACATGAAAATATAATTTGGGATTTCAGGATGTGAACCAAAAGCATTCAGCTCTGAGTAAGAAAATATAACACTGTAGAAAATGTATTGCTGCACAGTGTTTTACCTCTTAGTTTCAGTCTTAGTTTCACCAGCCCCCTTTCTAAAAGTTTCTGGTCAATAATGGATCTCTGTGGCTCAGAGGAAGAAGATACTCACAATATTTGTTAGCTGTGGTGTGGATGGAAATGTCAGTCTATCAGTGGTCCATCTGCCCCTTTGGTCCAGACTGAAATATTTCAACAACAGTTGGATGAATTGCCATGAAATTTTGTTCAGACATTCATGATCTCCAGAAGATGAACCCTACTAACTTTGGTGATCCCCTGACTTTTCCTCTAGCGTAACCATGAGGTTCACATGTTTGGTTTTGAGTGAAATATCTCAACAACTATTCTGTGGAATGTCATGAAATTTGGTTCAGACGTTCAAACTCACCTCAGGATGAATTGTAATAACTCTAGTGATGCACTGAATGGTTATCTAGCACCATCATCAGGTCAAAAATGCTTGGTTTGTAACCAAAAACCTGCGAAATGAATTCATTCTGTCAACTTCAGCTAAACTTTTGCTTAACGATAATTTTCCAATTTTCAAAGCATGCTAACATGCTACACTAAGATGCTGACCATGGTAAACATTACAGCTGTTTAACATCAGAATATTAAAAATGCTAACATCGTGAGCATGTTCCCTACCGCTTGCTTGGCAATAAAAAAAATGCAGAATATCAGCAGCCTGATCCTTTAAATCAAATGTATGTAACTACTGAAAGACGGACTTGTATTTGTGCCACTGTTACACTATGTTTTAAATGTCTTGGACAAAACTTTCATTAGTTTTATCATGAAAGTAAAACAAAAAATAAACAAACCATACCTGTCTGTCAAACATATTTATTGTTTCCTGCATGTGATCCCATTCTTCTAGCACTGTTTCAGGTCACCTAATGATGATGTCTTCAGGGATGGGAATCATGGGAAATGGAGGGAAATCCCATGTGACCTTATCCTATGATGTACCACTTGTGGCCACAGTGGCCGCTGTTCTGCAAATTTACAACTGTTCTGTAACCACGTAGTTAAAGTACAAAACGAAAACAGAAAAACTAATTATTAAACAGAATTTACATTTATTTAAAAATATATATTATGTAAATCCCACAAATAATACACCTTTAATTTACTGAAAATGTCCTTTGCTTGTAAGATAAAATAATGTGCGTTTATTACTTACAATGGAATTCCTGTTTCAACCCAAATTAATTTACTGTCTCATAAATCAGTAACTAAAAAATTGCACACAAAGTCACTGCTGTATATGATGAAAGGTAAATGTAGATCACTGGTGCATTAAGTATGTGATTCATGCAGGATTAGCTCTCAGATTAGCTTCTTGGATACCTGGAAATATGCAGGAGAGCCTATAAGCATCTACAAACAAACAACTGCAGTGAGTCTTGGTCCGAGTTTCTGGAACTTATATACAGTATCATTCCTGATTTGAAAAGGCAGTCTTGTGCATTTTTATGAACTTGTACAATGCTGTCTCACCTCCCCCCCCCCAAAAAGAAGGATGCTATGCTCATTAAGTGTTCCCATACGGTTCAGACCCAAAACACTGCTGTTTGGCCTGGATATTCTGTATTTTCCACTGTATTATTTGGACTCAACAACTATTTTTTAATCAGTGTGAATATTCTGTGTTTATACCAGATTTAAGCCCACTCGCGTACAGCAACAACTTAACTCAGTGACTATTAATCCTGTATTTTAAACCATAAACTAGGCCAGAGGACAGACATGTAGGCGGTCATACAACACCTAGCTGTCTAGGCCTAAAAAGATGGCTTAATAAAGTTACACCTTTTCTAAAAATGCAGTTTTGTACTTTTTCCCTTTTTCAAACCAGTTTGTTCAGTCTGCAGAAAATAAAATTTTCTTTAACAAAATAGAAATTCACATCATTGACCTCCTACATCTACAGTACACATTCACCGATATAAATGGGATATAAGAAAAAAACAAGATTAAAAACAAGATTAAGGATGGCATCTTTAAACTCAAAGGTTGAATAATCAATGATTTGTCTTAAGTTGGAAGCATACAAATTAAGCACCAACTGATCTGAACAAAATCTCATGTATTTAATCTTTTTTTTAAGTCACCCACATGGTGAGTGATATTGGCAGCAGCCTTTTCGCTTAGAAAGTAGGTCATTTTCTGATTTGCTGGGTGAATTGGTAGTTGTGATGATATATGCAGTCACAATAGAAACTTCCAAAGAAATTGGCTTCTCTTTCCTGTTACAAACAAAATAGTCAGAGTGCAGATAATAACTGATCAAACTATTTTTGTGCAGCAGTTTTATTAACAAAGTTACAAAGTGCTTGACAGAAAAACCCTAAGCAACTAACAGCAAAGGCAACAAGGAGCAAACAAAATCTAAAACGACATATTTATTTAGTCATAAGTAAATATAAAGATAGTCAAAAACAGACGAAAGGTCACAGCGTCACCAAACACGCAAGTGTTCTCCTCTTGACAGCGTGAATCTAAAGTTTTTGAGAAGCGGGGTGAGGACCAATTTCTAACAAAAATGACTTGAGGAAGATGCTGAAGCATCTGATGCATCTGCCAGTGTGAGCAGTCAATTGCAAAATGTGGGCAAATCATCCCTTCCATCCCTGCCATCCTACTGTGCATGATTGAAGCCCTATTTTTATTCAGTCTCCTTCAATGGGACGATGTTGGATAATCTTCTCTGTATTATCCATCAGATTATGACTTGCACGTGACATATCTGGTTTTACTGCGTTAGCATTGACTGCATGAATTCATAAATCATACAGTGCAGTATGGAGACAATTGTTCTCAGGCTACACATTTGTCCAAGAAGGATTTTTGCTGTACTTCCTGTGACTCATTTCCAAATACTGAAAATCTAATTCAAAGCAAAAAAATACCATCACATTAATATCGCTGAAACCATTTGTCCTCTCCCGCTCTCATACATAAGGTTGTGGCCCTGATAATGCAGACAGACCTCGAGACTGTAATCTGCAGAGTTTGCAGAAGCATCAGACAGATGTGAGTGCAGGTTTTGCCTCCTTAGATTTAGTTCAGGATCAGCGGTGATGGGCTTACGTCCAGCCGTCCACAGCCCTGATTTATCAGAATCAGAACCAGCCAGATGCCGCAGATGACATTAGATTATCTGCTACCAAATGCCATGCTGCCAAACACTCTGACATTGTAAGTTGTCTGAAACACTGACATCCAAAAGTCTTCAGGCAGCTTGAGTTTGAATTCCTTGACTCAATTTAGTTTTATTTATTTAAATAGGCTAGTGCCAATTCATAACAGAGGTTATTTCGTTGCACTTTTCATATAGAGCAGGTGTAGACCGTACTCTTTGTAATATTATTTACAGAGACCTAACAATTCCCACCATGAGCAAGCACCTGGCAACAGTGGCTGGACCAAAAACACGCTTTCAACAGGTAGAAACTTCTAGCAGAACCTAGACAGGGTGGGTTTGCCATCTGCACCAAAACGTTGGGTTGAGAGAGAGAGATGGGGCTAGTGCTCCAGCCTAGAAGTAACAAATGTGTGGACTAGCTTCTGCATAATTTTGAGACAGGATGTGCCAGATTTTGGCAATGTTACGTGGGAGAAGAAAGGCGGTCCTTGAAGTTTGTTTTATGTGGGAGGGCAAATCTTGATCAAGGATAACTCCAACATTCCTCACGGTGGTGCTGGAAGCCAGGACAAGGCCATGAGTAACTATAGCTTTCGATAATGCGTCTCAGAGGTGTTTGAGGCCAGCACAATACAAACAAGTACAATAACCAGTTTTGTCTGAGCTGAACATCAGAAAATTGCAGGGCATCTAGGTTGTTTATAGTCCTTGATTGATAAATACAGTATCATCTTTAGTTTCTTAATAATATTGCCTGAAAAGCACAAGGTGTATAGAATCACACAGAACCTTATGGACCTCTGTGACTAACTTTGGCGTGCATGGAGGATTCATCGTTAACATCTACAAACTGAGATCGATCTGATAGACAGGATTTGAACCATCTTAGAGAGGTTCCTTTAATGCCAATTAAATGTTCCAGTCTCTGTAATAGGATGTGATGGTCAATGGTGTATATTAGAAAGAAGCTCATGAAGTTGTTACTACTGGGGGCTATTGGAAAACATGGCTCAATAGAGCCCTGTCAGGCCACAGTGCTGAAAACTAACCTGGGGTTGTTCTTTTTTTCCTCCATTAATGATGAGTAACAGGCTACTGTGGCATTACGGAGAGCCGTCTTATATTTTTTAGGACTATCTTGCGCTATCTTTCAGAATGCATTTTTATTCAGACAAGGACTTTATCACTTTCACTGAAGTCATTTTAGAGAGGGAGCGTGGGTTAAAATCAAGGGGAAGAGAAGGGAAGGGATTTCTTTGCAGTCGGTAGGGACAGCAGGAACAATTAGAACGAACAAAAAAAATCTTCCAGTGGACAGATGGGCATGTCAGTATTGCATTAAAGCTGGGGTAGGCAACGTTGGAGAAACTAGTAAGAGACAGATAGATTTTGAAAGTAGACAGTTTTACCTGATGTAGGTATAAGGACAGAAACACTGAATCTAAATAAACCTTACCACAAAATAAAATTACGTGTACTGGAGCTCTCTCTTCTTCTGCCTATGGAAGTATCCAAACAAAAAAACTCCCTTTAGACACTCCCTCAAAACACACATACAGTATATGCACAATGAGTGCATGGGCAGAGTGAGCACAGGTAAACAGGCAGATCACTGCGGATCCCTGTTTATTTCTTAAGGTTGAGACGAATTCAGATAATTTCTTGTTTATTGCTCATTTAGATCATCATTAGTTGTTACATCGGCAACAACTATTCTTCCTGGAGTCTAGTCAGTACTAAATAGTGGAGTTTTACAGAAGGTAACGATGATTTAAACAGGCATTGCATACGAATGAATGAGTGGAGAAACAGGACAGGTTACAGGAGTGCTCACTGAATGGTTTTAGTGAGTATGACAGTGATGTGAATCATATGCTGAACTCTGTGGGGTCATCATTTAGATAGTGTTCTCCACCACCATCATAAAAACAACACTAAATGAAGGAATATCTATCTGGAAGAATGCCGTTAATCCCTCCTATAGAGTCCAGAGAACATATCAGACCTCCACCCTTTACCCTCTTCTGTCAAGGATGTGTTTCCTTTTAGCTTGTTAGACTGTGTGTTGTGTTTGTGTGGATGCTGAACTGCCTTCGTCCTCCTCCTCAGTTATGCTGTTGCTGTGGACCGGCTCCCTGCTCCCTCTGCTGTGCCTTCTGTCCTCCAGTCAAGTCCTCCACCAGCACGCGGGTCATGTACACCCTCTTCCACATCATGAGCTGCGCCGTCTCCTGCCTCATGCTGTCCCGCACCGTCTCCGAGCTCGTCAGGGAAAATGTGAGTTCTGGATCTTATACATGTTTGTAAATTGGTAAAACAAACATGACCGCAAATTTAACAAAAATCAACTGAAATAGAACCATAACAACCATTAATCTCCTCTTGCGCAACTGGCAACTGAACAAGAGACCTGTGTAATCATTCGGTGCAAAGATCCTGACACAGATAACTCAAACACAACTGGAGTAGGCAGGAAACTGGTCATGAAATTGGTCATGAGGCCCTAAAGTTGAAATCTGCCATCCTTATAGACCCCAAACCTATTAGGTCACTAATGTGGCGTCCTTGTGATATCTGCGGTTCGTGTGTGGAAAGTAGCTGAATAAATTTACTCAAGTGATGTGCTTATTTACAAAATTTATTTATGCATTTATGTTTTTCCATGTTATGGAACTTTATGCTTCTACTCCTCTACATCTCAGAGGCAAATGTTTTACTTTTTACTCCACTACATTTATTTGACAGATGTAGTTATTAGTGACTTTACAGATTAGTAATACAGAATATAATTAATTATGATGCATTATTATGGACTAAACAGCAGGGCAGTATATACATTTGTTAAAATTAGCTACACCTTTACCAGCTGCAACTTTACTTAAGTTCTTAGTACTTCTCCGACCACAGCCAAGGACCTTTTTTCAAACCCCGCTCTCTGCCATGTTACATTACATTACATTTATTCATTTAGCTGACGCTTTTGTCCAAAGCAACTTACAATTGCTGTACAAAGATTAGGATAACTCATAAAAAATCAGTTTGATCAAATGTTACCAAAATACGTCAGCAGCTTCTGAAATCTTCCCCCAGATTAAGAGACACACACACACACACACATAGATGCAGTGGTAAAATACAGTGTGTATGTATGTGTGTGTGTGTGTGTTTCAGGTGCCTTTCTTCAACATGGTGTGTGACCAGGCGCATGGCGGAGGCCACTGTGAGATGCTGGTGGGCTACTCAGCGGTCTACAGAGTCTGCTTTGGCACTTCCTGTTTCTACCTGATGATGGCGATCTTCCTCATAGACGTGAAGTCCAGTCAGGACTTCAGAGCGCTCATACACAACGGGTCAGTGCTGCAGAGTTTACCTCGCCGAACATGTTCCTCCTGAACTAAGACAGTATTTTTTTCTAATGCCCTTCGAATTTTGGTGAACATCAAACTCGTGGAGATTGTGGATGTAGTTCATATTCAGACAGCCAACACTAGACACATTATTCTGTTTCAGACAAAACAGTTCATGAATGCACTGTTCATTTTTTAGAAAATTAAATCGTATCAAATTTTTTATTGATCCTGCTGTCAACCTGGACAAAAAGAAAGACATGAAGGGCTGAATACATCACCTCCTTCCAGCCTCTTTGGAAACTTGGAATTCCCACAATTCGCAATCAAGCACAAAAGTGGAGGAAACTTTCCACACATTAATCCTGACACACATTCACTCAATCTTCCTGCCCTATAACAATCTTAATGACGTTTGAAGCTTGTAATGGGAAACGGGGAAAAATAAAGATAAATTTTCTCTAAATGTATGATTAGGTTACAAAGATCATTATGTAATTTCCCTGAATCTGATTATTTAGAAAGGACCTGATTCCACCGAGAGATGTTTCCACACCTCTCTAGAACTACACACATCTTTAAATACTGTAAGCGGTCATTGTTTCCACCCTTTGCTCAACTACCTGCTGGTCTATTTAAAGCTCTTTGTTGTCACACTTTCCATTGCAGTGCAGTAGATTACAGTACTGACGTAGCGCAGATTAGGATTTGACAGACTGGATTGATGGTCCTCTGGTATAAATCTACTCACAGAGTCTTAAATGTGCGCATGGGGAAAGGTTTCAGGGTCTTTGGCAAAGGTTATAGCTCTTAATGAAGTGTAGGGGGGTCAAGTAATGACCCAGTGCCCTGCTGAAACCATGTCCACCTTAACGCCAGATAGAATCACATTAACATAGAGGTGGACATGGACAGTTTGTCAGGAGATTGAGGCTAAATTTGCTTTTACACAAGGGCTGTTGTCATGTGCAAACTTGATCACTCCGTAAATGGGATTACAGAGATTTATTTTTTAATATGATCAAAATCAGTCACGTTGCAATACACAAAGCTCAGTAAAACATTTTATCATTGATTAATCTGCCAAATTTTTATTTACATTTTAATGTTGTTTGACATGTTAAATTAAGTGATTTTTTCAGTTTTTTTGCTGATTGACTAATTGACTAATCATTTTAGCACTTCTCAAAAGAAAAGTCTGTTCTCCTTAGTTCTGTTTTGGCAAAAATTGCCATTTTGAAAATATAATATTTTCATCCTACAGCACAAGGAAAGGGGTTAGTTAAAGGTAAATAATACATAATTTGGGCTAAAACATGCAAATGAACTGGTACAATGCTTTAATGATAAAAATGTACAATTGTTTTGATTTAAATTATTTGTTACCCACAGAGTTATGTGTGTGGAAGGAACAAGCAAAACAAAATAATTAATAATAAAGTTAATGTGAATTACAAAAACAGAGATAATGCCAGTTTAAGTTTTACTCTTGAGGTTTAAACTTCTGTTTTTTATGTGTTGTCTCTCCTTGTGTTGACCGACAGCTTCTGGTTCCTGAAGTTCATCACCCTGCTCGGGATGTGCACGGCTGCCTTCTTCATCCCAACAGAGTCCTTCCTGCATGGTGAGAAGCTGTTTCCTGTCAGTCTGCAGGGATTCATCTGAAAATGAATTCATACTGAGAATGAATCTGACATTGACAATGGTGTTAGTTGAACTCCTTCTGAATCCTGCTAGAGGGCAGCAGAGACCAGCTCATGATAACGCTCCTCAGGTTGACTCACTCCTGTGAATAACTGGACCATAAATGCCTGAAGCTTGATTTCACTTTGTCTGGGAACAATAAATCTGATGGTGATACATGCCTGATATCAGCACTGAGTTGTGATTTACAACTTGCTCTCTTTATTTCTTTCTCTCTGTTTGCCTCTCCCCCTCTCACTTCCCTGAAATAAATCAAACTATATGGATCATGGTTCTTCTTTTTCTCTTCCTCTCTCCCTCAGCTTGGCATTATGTTGGTGTGGTGGGAGGATTTGCCTTCATCCTCATCCAACTCATCCTCATCACAGCTTTTGCACACACCTGGAACAAGAACTGGTGAGACAGAGGGTCTTATACTTAAAATATTTTATCACTGTGTACATACGTTTAAATTGTGATATGAATCATGACACAGGACAATTCTGTAAAAAATGTAATTGTAAAATTGTAATTTTAAAATGCTGTTTGTCCTGGTTTTAGTCTCAGCTCCACAGTTTCAATTAAAGGAAATCTTACAGCATACAATGTTATTTTAGACAATAGTGTTAGTGCCAGCTGTTTGTGTTTGTGTGTGCCCAATTCCAAAGTGTCCAAGTTCACACAGTCGGGTCCACAAAGAAATAGTTTTCTCAGTTTTGCAGCCATCTAGTGGAAAGTCTGGAACCAAAAAAGTGGAGTCTGTCATAGCAGTAGATTAATACTCTCATTTTTGGAATGAGATGTTTAATACTCACAAATGGGATTAATGTTTAGGTGTCCACGTATTTTTGGCCCATTGATGTAAGAATCCTGCAAATCAAATCCAATGATTTTAACATTGTGTTACGGGGTTAGAAAATTAACCTACTTCTTAGACTAAATTAACTATTGGAGTTGGAGCATAGGGGCGATGAACCGTAGCGTCTCCAGTTTGTATCTGGCACGGGAGCTTTGTTGCTGTACCCCAGCTGTCTGCCTCCCATAACCCTTCCTGTGCTGTTTTTACTGTACGCTGTCATATAAAGGCAAACAATGCCAAACATAATTCAAAATAATTAAACAGAGTTGTTTCACTGCTTGCAAAAAGTTGACATTTTTGGTTCTTATATGACAGTGATAATATAATATTTAAGGTCCCACCCAGCTTCTTATAAATACATATTTACCATATACAGACTCAAACCTGGTTCACATCTGGTGATGACTCATCTTCTGTCCAGCAGAGCTGTGTAAATCAGACTGACTTCAGCAACATCTGTCCCGTTCATCCCAAAATCTGGAACTTTGTTTCTGTTTAGGGCCAGAGCACAAGGAGCACTGAGGTGCCGATGGTTCCTGGCACTGAAGATGCAATTGTTTTTGGAGAAATTATTATTATTTCTACTTTAGTTGATACAAAAATCAGTAAAGTTCTGCCGTGATTGGGCTTTGGCATGGCCGAGGGTCTTTACAGCGCCCCAGACGCACTCCATGGTTGAGATAAAGGTGCTTTGATATTCATGAGATTTGGTGGGATGCTTGCTCTCATCATAAAAAACATATTTCACTTCTTTGAAGAGAGTTTGCCCAACAGGAAGTCAACAATTGTGGATTGCGTGTGTTAATTTGAACACATGTCTAAGGCCTTTAGGATGCTTAAAAACTCACGAAAGTGCACCCATAGTCGGACTGGTAAATATTTCTTTTAGCCTTCAGACACATTTTTGATGCCTTTGGTTTACTCAAAAACCCAAAGAAATGGGCACACACCTACAGCATTGCAAGAATATTCAGCTATTGGGTCCATGCGTGTTTAACAGGCTCTGTAGCGCAAAAAACTCACAAATTTACTAGAAATAACTCAGATTATAAAATTCTTTCAGATGTCCTTATTAAAGACTCTGTAGTCTATAAAAAAGCAGGGTGTGCATCAAAGCTACTTTCACCAACCAGTGTCATTAGATACTTCCTTCTGTTCAAAGACTAAAAGCATACAAATTGGGGATGAAATGCAGACATTTATGAATGACTGAAGATGAATGAATGAAGATGTGTCCCATGCTTTTCAGTGGCTTTGTTGCAGTCCCTCATATCTGCCCAACTGTCTGAAAGCCCCAGCTCTTCTTTAAGTCTCCAGTGGCTGTTTTTTTTCTCATAAATTTACCTCTTTAATCACAGAAATTCTGAGATTTTTCTCTGAATATTATCCCCCTCCCCAAACTCTTTCATTTTTGTCTTTTTTATGGCTCTAATTCACTATTGTATGTGATAGCCAGCTTGTCCCAGATGTTATTTATAATGTCCAGATTTTGCTGTTTTGCGGTCAGTCTCTGTCAGCCACCTCTGAACTCTGCTGTGACATGGAAGAGTTGTGGCTACAACAACTAAGAGGATTTATTAATTCTGGAGCTTTTCCAAGGCAGACGCACAAAAATCCTCTTATTTCCTTCACAGTGACAGGGAAGATATAGGGAGGCGGAAATGTCACCAAGAAAGCAAATGTAAAAATAAAAATGTCACAAGCAGCAGTGAATTATTTCTCCTAACCATACGTGCATCATAATCCAGCTGCAACATTTATCTCATTATCTCTCATCAACTCAAATTCAGTGCTGTCTTTTAGCAGCTTTTTAGTGTCTGTGTCATTGTCACTGGTCTTTGTGCAGTTGCACTTATAATATTTTATAATTTCTTTAGTTGATACAAGATTAACCCAGGGACTCAGCATCACATAGACTGCACCAATTTACATTTTAATTTCATAATTTCTCTACAAACACAAACTTCTGCCATCAGAATAGTGTGAAAGATGCTTTAACGTTGCCTTTAAGAAGCAATTAGGCGCACATGAATTCTCATTTTGGAATGAAGCACTATTAAATCATTCAACAAGGTGCCTGATGTTTTTCATTCAACCAAGTGCAATAATAACTGAGAAAACAATGAGAATTCCCCAAGAATGTTAAAAAAAATCCTAAATTTACGGCAACATTTATTTAATTTTATCACATGTTTTTGTGAAATCAAACTTTCTAAAACTTCAGGTGTGTTTCTCTGTGACACATGCAGCACCCAAGCAGAAAGAACATCTTTGCAGGATGGATGTGAAGCTGAAACCTTTTCTCTGTCCTCTGTGTTGCTATCAGGTTGACCGGAGCAGCAGAGAACAAGCGTTGGTATCTGGCGGTGATGTGTGCCACCCTCTTCTTCTACACTATCGCCACCATGGCCTTCACCTTCATGTACAAGTACTACACACACCCGATCGCCTGCCACTTCAACAAGGTGCTGCTGTGGATCAACCTGGGACTCTGCGGCCTCATGTCCTTCATTGCCATCACACCGTGCGTGAAGCAGAGTGAGTTGATGAGACACTCTTGCATGTCTGTCATCGATTCTCAGCTGTGAAATAACACTTAGTCCATCTCCAGCTATGCAAACATCCCCCTGTTGAAACCAGTGCTGCTGCAGATAATAATTAGATGTAAGCTAATATTATTTCTCCCTTTAAAAACCAAATGTCGACTGCCGGCCTGCTTTGTTTGCACATGTCTGGATTTTATTATTGAAACATACTTCCACCTTTGTAAGCAACTGTAACTAAGTACATTTATTAAAGTAATGTCCTTTATAGGAGTATTTCCATTTTGGAGGAATTTATGGAATCAAATTTCCTTGACTGTAATTCAAAAGTAACCAAAGTAAACAAGTTTTTACTCCACCATGTTGACATGTGGGCTAGAGATACCTGTTACTTTGCAAATTAAGATTTTGTATTAATACACAGTACATCACTGTTGTTGATTCATCTTGTATCTGCAAATGTAGACTTATCAGGAAATGCAAAAAAATTAAAACAAGAAAAATCTGCCTTGTTTCAGCTTGATAATGCAATTCATTTTAAACATTTTGTAAATTTGGCATTCAGAGTTCATTCTTGAACTTGGAGATACAGACGTTAAGAAAACAATCTCACCACCAGGTCCAGAGGTTGGAAGTTTTACAGGATGTACTCTGACCCTGACTTTCTCCCTCTCTCCGTCTCTGCAGAGCAGCCCCGGTCAGGGCTCCTTCAAGCCTCCATCATCAGCTGTTACGTCATGTACCTCACTTTCTCTGCGCTGTCCAGCCGCCCGCCAGAGAAAGGTATGCTAACTAACCAGATCCAGTGCAGAAGCACAATGGCGGATCTCTGGAGCTCCCCTAAGACAGTGAACACTGTGTCTCTGTCCACAGTTAACACTGACACAGAAACATCTAACATTAACACTTAACTTTTCAAGGTTATTTTCTATATGTTGATTAATATAGAAACATATAGTACAGGAAATGAAAGGATGCAACTTGCATTTGCATCAAAATCCTTATATGGAGAATGGGTCATTGGGACCACTGTGCGTGTTATGTGAAAGAGGCTGCTCATTTTAACATCTTTCAGCTCATTGTTTTGGTTTTATAGCCTGGTACTTTAAAGTTTTGGTTTACTTGCCATCATTTCCAGACTTAGAAGGCAGTGGAAAAGCTCTAAAACCACTGTACATTACCTGCACAGAGCCAAAAAGATATAAAGTTAGCAGCTACCTAGTACTTGCTATATTTGTATTATTTGTTTTGATACAGCAAATGTTTCCTGGAATGGCAAAATGGAAATAGGAACAAAATTGATACTAAAAAGACTTTTACTTTGCATAACTCATATTAGCTTCTGCTTAATGTTTTGCATTTTTGTACAAGCTGAGGATCAACATCCATCTGTACCTGATCATTTTGTCCTGCTTAGACTTAACACTGAAGAGCCCCACCGCCACACACAGTCATATGGTAAACATAATGTGCCTTTACCTTCCTCATAATGACTCACCTGTTGGCTCCAAGTAAGACAAAGAGCCTCCACATGACTGAGACATTAGTGCAGAGGCTTGTCAGAGGCCCCTGTCTTATCCAGGGTTTACATCTTAATGGCACACAAATATAGACGTACACACAACGATAATCTGGGATGAGATGTGCTCTGACACGCTGCCTGCTGGGTTGGTGGCCTGTGGTGAGGGCAGACTGGAGGATATTTGTTTCACATTCCTCATGGATTCATTGACAACATAATAACACAGGAATACTGGCAGCATCATTACGTACTGTGTTGTCACACAGCTCGTCCTGTTGAACAGATAGAATGCACGTTGTTTAGATCTGTCAGTAATGAATTATCCATCGGTCGGTTTTATACAGCTGAGGAAAGGTTGAATAACATCAGAGGTTAAAGAAAAAACACACAACACAGTTGATAGATGTTTACAGTGTTCCTCGTGGTGTATTGTTATTCTTGCTGATACTTGGCCGAACTTAGATTGTGTTGGCATGGGCGGATATTTCCACCTGCTACAATAGCTGATTGATTCATCATACATGTAATGTAGCCACAGCACAGTCAGTAACCCCCCCTTTATGACACATATATATATATATATATATATATATATATATATATATATATATATATATCTCACTTGAGAAGTGTCTGTGGACATTTTGATTTTCTCCCGCCAAACTATTGCTGTTGGAATTGTAAATGCTGTGTATTAAAGCTAACTAAAGTTGCTAAAGTTACAAACTTTTCAGATCCACCTTACAAGCCTACAAGGGCCCACTTAGTGCTGGAGTGTGGAGTCTTCCTTTCCTCTCTGGCACTATTGCATCTTGAACGTTTCAGCAACTTCTCCTGATTTCCTTTGTATTTAACATGCTGTTGTCCTCAAGGCTTTCTGTGTGTGTGAGTGTACAGTATGACTGTGTACAGTAGGTGTGTGTAAGAGTCCCGGGGCAGTGCTGGTACTGTAGTAACTTGTTGAGAAAATATGCACTCCGTCTGTTACAAAAACACCTTTTCACCGCAGACTGTGAACCGCTCACAAATCCACACACAGACACAGACACACACACACACACACACACACACACACACACTCTCAAACTTAACACGCTCTGCAATATTTAATTTCCACCTACTGTTGCTAAGTTTCCTTTCTCAGTTGCTTTAATTCAGGGGTTCTTTACCTGTAATGGTATCATCTCCAGGGTTGTGTGTGATAGACAAAGAGATCCAACTTCGTTACTGTCTCTTTAGGTCTTTGTTTCCCTGCCCTGGTCTGTCCCCAGAAGGCTTATTCTGCTCTATGACCTCACCATGACATACACACACAGTCAAACACAGTAATCCTTGTGTTTCTGAGAGGAAGAATTAGTCTGGAGTGCAAATTGAAAAGAGAACTCAGGACATGTTCTCTCTCCCTTAACAACTCTTGACCCGAGTGACTGTGTGTGTGTGTGTGTGTGTGTGTGTGTGTGTGTGTGTGTGTGTGTGTGTGTGTGTGTGTGTGTGTGTGTGTGTATACTTGCAATTACTAAATGGTGAACAAGATTTAAACCACTTTTTGGAAAGTGAGGACATTTTGGCTAGTCCTCACAATTTCAGATGTTTGAAGGTTAAGACTTGGTTTTAAGGGTTGGGGTAGAATAAGGTTTAGGTTAGGGTTAAGCTAAGGGTTAGAGCAGGCATTTTTGTTGCGATTGTTAAGGTAGGGGTCCATTGCAGGCATTATGTCAGTGAGGGTCCTCACAACTACAAGTACAAGGATGTGTACAAAACTTCTCTCAGGAATCCAGCTGAAATAACCCATTGGAGATTTGCTGGTTTTCTGTGTGAGTGTGAGTGTGTGTGTGTGTGTGTGTGTGTGTGTGTTTGGGAGTTAGAGCCTGTGCACATACATGTGCATCTGTGAGCATACAGTACATATTGGTGGATGCTCTGTGTTCACCCTAGCGAGAGGGTGAGTCTATAGTGGAGAGTCCCACAAGGGAAAGTGCAGCTGAGACCCCTTTTACAAGAAAGAAAGGAATTTCCCAGAACACAAAACAAAGGAGAAAGAATGAAGAAAGTGACACAACATGTGACCTTTGTGTCACCTTTTTACTGTGGTGCCGGCATTAAAAAGCAAAAAAGCTGGCTATTCTTTTTATTTACTAAACTGACTACTGTTGTGAGTAAAAGTACAAAAGACTTTATTTAGATTACATACTTTGCATTTCTTGTACCAGGGGCCCCCAGGGGCCCCCAGGGGCTAGGGGTTAAGATGCTAACCATAAACCACAATGTCTCTGGTTTGAATCCAACTAAGGACCCTTGTTGCATCTCCCTCTCCCTCTTTTCCTGTCATCTCTCCACAACTGCTATAGTACACATGAAGTGAATACTTTAACATATTTTGAAGAGATATTTTTAGAGGGTTATTTTGAAATTCAGTGTGATGTTTACTGTGTATAATTTGTAGTTTAAAGGTCACACAGGTTTACGTTTAAATAGGAAAAACTGGAATAGTTAAAATATCACATTTCAAATCAAACAGCTGCATTTTGATTATAAATTGTGCCATACAAATTCATCCTCAGATTTATCTTTAGTTTAGCTTCTTCTTCAACTTATCATGAACAACTGTTTCATCTCGCGCTCACCTGCACATTCACTCCGTCTTTACTTTGAGCTACTCTTTCTAGTTTGGTTTTGAAATGAAAATTATGTTTACATTTACAGAAGATGTGGCTCCTGCCAAATACCTGATGAACTTGAAAGTTGCTATGGGTCGCAGAACTTTCCTCTTTTAGTTTTTGCACAGAATTGTACATTTATGTATAAAACTCATGTTTTCCGTAAGGACTACATAGAGCAGTGATGCTATATGAGGTTGGTCTTGTACATTTTTAAATGTCTGTAGAAATTAAGTTGCCGTGTTCATGTATATTCACACTGGAGTTTTTTCAGAGTCAGTAAAATATGATCATATTATCATCGTATTTCTTGTTTCAGTTCAGCGATTCTGTTATACAGTAAAATAGACTTTATGTCTATTTGTGTTGTAAATTTTCTGCTGGTTTGACTTTTGAAAGCAACACTAACGTTGCACTAACTGTTGCTGAGAAAGAGACGTATAAACCAGCGACAAACTGACAGATAAACCAAAAGGGACATTTTCCCTGAACGATCCAGAGATGAAACTTAACGTGCTGTGTTCCTCTCTGTGTCAGTGGTTTATCAGGGCATGAACATGACCGTCTGTTACCCCAGTGTGGGACAAGATGACATCCAGAATGAAGGCAACGCGGTGGCCATAATTGGAGCTGCCATCATGTACTGTTGTGTCCTCTTTGCATGGTGAGTACACTTTATCTTTCACCACAATGAGTATGCACAGAAATGTCACATAATACATCATATAAAATCCACTTCAATCATAAATTACAGAAACATAAAATTCATGAAATGAAATAGTACAATAACAAAAACATCTCAAAAAGTAAGAATCTAATTTCCCCCCCAGCAACGAAGCTTCCTACCTGGCAGAGGTGTTCGGTCCATTTTGGATGATCAAAGTTTACCGCTATGAGTTCCAGAAAGCCACCTGCTGCTTCTGCTGCCCTGAGGAAGAGGAAGGTTGGTAATGATGCAGTTCACATTACATAATTGTTTCCTGAAAGGTGCTTTGTGTTGTGTTTTTACACCAGTAAGGCATTCATTCAGTAATACTAAGATGGAAGTAAGACAAGAAGGGGCTCCAGGATCAACAAAGTTCTGTATTCAGTTGGTATTTGGTAGGACATCAGTTTGCTTTATGGCACAAAGCATGAAGCTTAGTTTCCTGGCAAGCTTAGTTTTGATTTCCATTATCGTGATGTACAAGTTTTAACTTCACATTAACTCACTTGGTTTGCAAAGACCTGTTGCTGGATCTTATCTGTCTGCAATTCAAATAAACAAGACCAGGAGAAAAGTCAGCATCAAAAGAAATCAAAAGGTTTTATCTTTGACTGGACAAAAAGAAAACTACACAGGGTGTCTATAATTAAATAGCATTTATACATTTTTTGTATATAACCAAGACACATTACAAAAAAAAATTATTTTGTTGCTGCAACCATAACATCATTTGGTGAAATAAATGAGCCAGCGTCTGGTGGCCATTAATAGAACTTCAACTTTTATGGGAGAAAAATTAAGCCTGGGTACATTTTTACATGAGAACCCTCAACAAGTGTAGAAGAAGAATAGAAGTGTTCTCCAAACAAAACTGAATTTGGTGTGCATCAACATACATAGTGGCTAAAGTCAGCCATGTTTGGTTTTGATCACTCCAGTGTATACGGGCTGACCAAGTAAATTTTTTGGTAATTTTCTAAAGTATTTGTGGTTGTAGTAGAGTTTGCTGCAGCTTGCTTTGATGAGAGAAATTCTCACTTAGCTGTAAATGTGTTTTATTTTTTAGCTGAGGAGGAATTTGTGATTGACGACGAGAACAAAGGCTGTCAGAAGGTCATTCACAACGAGACCCTGAGAGTAGCTTACAGCTACTTCTTCTTCCATTTTGTCTTTTTCTTGGCATCGCTGTACGTCATGATGACCCTCACTAACTGGTTCAGGTTAGTTCACCACAGTTACCCCAAGAATTTCCCCTCAGGGTTCAATAAAGTATTTCTGTTTCCTAGTTTCCTATTCAGCACACTTATTGTTTTCAACTAAACACAGACAGTTTCTCATTCATATTTTGTTATTTTTGTTATTCTCCCGGAGAACAATCCAATAGCAGCTCCCGCCTACACTGTGGTAAACGGGACACATAGTTTTGTTATGTTTGCCATTGTTTTGGCAATTGTTAGTTCCACTTTGTGCGATTTGGTGGCTATATGACAATAATTGTTCCATTAATATATTAAGGTTTAAATATTGGAGCATGTTATTTGAAATTCTTTTTGCACTTTTAGTTGTTCAGTTACTTTGAGCTGCTGTGGGAAGGGTGTTAGTGTTTACTTCCCCTCATCCTAATAATTTTTGACCAGTTCCTGGTGTTTATTTGGAGCATGGAGTTAAACTGTGTTGTCCCGCTTCAGCTACGAGTCAGCAGTGTTGGAGACCACCTTCACCCACGGCAGCTGGTCTACCTTCTGGGTGAAGATGTCGTCCTGCTGGGCCTGTGTGATCCTCTACCTCTGGCTGCTGCTGGGCCCTCTGTGTAGCTGTCAGTCTGAATCCAGACCTCGCCGCTCACGCATCAAACGCCGCTCAGGGTCCTCCCGCCATGTCTCTGTCAGCGTCTGACACTCTCTGTGAGGGGCCAGGCAGGAGGGAGGCGGACAGGGCGCACTGTGCACAAGAGGTCAGATGACTCCGAGCCGCCCTGCGGTGCCCCACAGGAGGGGAGTTTCAGGAATGGAGGTCACAGGGGTCAGGGGTCAAAGACTCACAGTGCTGTGAGGACCAATCAGAGGACTCAGTGCCCAGTGCTCTGTTGATACTGTATATGAAGAACTGGAAAAAGTCCTGATGTCACAGGCTGGACACCATGAAATTAAACCATAACAGGGACTTGATTCTGGTTTGGAAACACACGTACAGAATGAATTGCCAAAGGGATCAGAAAGGGTGAACTGCACTCTGTATAATGTGGAAATTACAGTAAGTAGGTGTAAAGATGGACACATTTCTGAATTTTTACTCTTTAGTTAAGTATTATTTTACACTTGTGGCTGTATTTAGACTTATAATAGCATACCAGAGGAGAAATTCTAGATAATACGTGCTGTAGTATTGCTACAGAGGCACATGTCCCAGGAATGTTTTTTTTATTTTTATAAAAGAATCTGCCCTAAAAGAGAAAGCGGTTAGTTCTCTGATCTTAGACAGGTAGTCAATGGTTTTGATAAAATTTTTACAAATCTATACACAAATCTTTCTCACAGTTGGAAAAAGACAACTGTGTAACTTTAAGCATAATGGAAGAGATGGCCCTAACTGACTAACTGATTTCAGTTGCTTACGAGGGCCGATTGCATTACACAGTAAAAACTGAAACAACAACTATCAAAGAAATTAACATAACATTCAGGCTGATCATCCATGCCAGTTCAACTTCAACAATCACTAGTTACAGTACAAGCCTTAAAAATGTTTTTCAACATTTTAAGAAATACACTGCGCCTGGAGGGGAATAACTCTCCGTAGAATCAAGACAACAAAGTTTTACATTTCTGTTTGTGTACAGATTAAGCAAACAAGATATAGCATGTTAATTAGTGAGCTTTAGAGGTGGGGCTTTAGTTCTGAGCAGTGCCAGGCTAACTGTATCGTTTCCAGTCTTTATGCTAAACTAAAGCTAATTGACTACCTGATATAGCCCGATATTTAATGTGCATATATGAGAGTGGTGTCATTCTTCTCAGCTAACTCTAGTCGAGAAAGTGAATACGTGCATATCCCAAAATGTCAAACTATTATTTAGGACTTGTAATAATGAACATATTGCTGCAGCAAATTAGCCGAAATCCCATTTTGAAATCGCCGCTGAAATTACAGTGAATGGAAGTCACGCTGTAGTTACATAGAATAATTGCATGAACTTTATTTCATTTAGTGCTAACAGTTACAAACCAGAAAATGTACATACAGAACAAATTTAATTGCATCCTTTTATATTAAATTATGAAGTTCATCTCGTATACCTGTCAATTAGGCAGCTTAAAGATTGGTTCTTATTTCCAGCCAAAGCCAAAGAAAGATTTGTTCATGTGTAACTACTCTAACCTAAAGTGTCCAGGATGCCGGGAAGAACAGATCCTCTTCCTCAGTATTTTCTCTGCATCTTTTCACAAGATTAATTTTAAATGCTTAGTGACAGAAGGTCTGACAGCGCGAGGCAGCTAAACAGAAATGTATGATGTTCTTCAAAGTTCAGCACAAGAGTTTTCTTAAATTGTGGCAAAAATACTTCGCATTTGACCTACAATCAAGAACAAGTCGCATGCTTGCTTTATGTTGCTTTACAGCACATCATTCACTTCTAAAGTCATTAATAATGGCCAGACAGGATTGATGCTTGTTTACATTTTGTTTATGTCACTCTATTTTAACCAAGAGTGCTCAAAACTAAAGCTTACTTCCAGAGGATAGAAGCTTTCTGTCTCATGCCTTCAGATGAAGTAGTCATGTCTGCAAAACGCTAAGGTTAACTGTGTTGTGAATCTAAAATAGCCCCCCTGTTCCTCAGATGTTCACGTTTATATGTGGAAACCTGGAACTGGTTTCTACAGTGCTCCCCTTTACAGAAGGAATACTGAGCCGAGTGTCTGTGAGGACTTTTCCTACAGTTAATGAACAGAAATCTGGTTCATATATATATATATATACACACACTCACACACACAATGTAGTGTGTCCGTTGTTGTAGATGTGAAATATTTTGTAAATACATTGTTTTCTTACAAATGCTGCTGTTTTCATGTCTGGTTTGTTAAACTGTGTGCTGTGTGATAAATTGTAAAATAGCATACACTTACAATCACTTTACATTAAGAAATGTGGGTCATTATCTTTTTACACTCTATGGACAAATGTGCAAAGAAATTCTTTTGGCACATGCAGATGAGGTTTGAGAGAAAATGTTCAAATGCATAACACAAGGCACAGAAGTTAACTGACTAATAAAGTTGTTTTTTAACATTTATAGTAAAATTAAACTTTAGTATATTTGTAGCTAATCCGTGCCACACAGTAAAATACAGTATATTTAATAATCTCTTTCACTTAAAGTAGACCTGATTTAACACACTGTAAAAAAAAATTAATACCACAAAAAAGCAACACAAACACTGTGAAAGACGTTAAACAAGTGACACACAAGTAATGTGTTATGGTTTAAGCTTATTTTTTATACATAAATACATTGTCAAGCAATATGTTGTTACTATATCGTGAGTGAAATCTAAAAGAAAAATCCACCTCTAAATCCTGATTGCATAATCAGGAGTAAATCAATGTTTTCACTATTAAATTCTGCTTTTCTAAGATGCCCTTCAAGAACCACAAGTATAGAACTTGTCGTATTTAACTGCAGGACAGATAATGATGGGTGATAGCAGAGATATGTATGTTAAAATGTCATTTAAAATTGTTAAAGTTAGAATCTTCATTGCATAGTGGAGAAAGAGACGTGGGAGGAGTATCTGAAATGTTGCTGAAAATTCCCATTTTCAATGATATCCTCAATGTTCCTTAACATAGAGACACTGGAGTCTTTAGGTCTTTAGGTTTATGTAATGGCCATCAGTTATGTTATGGCAGCTCCAGAAAGATGGTCTCACTCTGTAACACAAAATTTTAGATAACTAAAACATTCGCTGCTACACCAACTCTACTGAGCTGCTGTAAATATCTGGGGCAATGAATAACCAGAAACAAGCAGGAAACAAAGTCAGAATGGTGTTCAATGGGATTTAAGTAGCTGTTTAAAGTTTTGAGGTGGATTTTCCTCATTTTATTCACACAAAAATACAATAATATAAAAACGGTGATAGCTGTGGAAAAACAGCAATAACAAAAAGGCCATTTCAGTCAGTGTTCTTCTCTTTGGTATGTGTTTAAAGGTGGGCACAAGCATCCACCTAAAGTGCTCTATGTGGTACAGTAAGCTGGTAGTCATTTTGGTTTTGGTGGAGAGTTTCAAATGAGGCTGAAACTGTCTGTCGACTATCCAACTGTCATTTTTCTCCAGTGACGCCACTCTGGAATCCATCAGACCATCACATGGATCACATGGAGTCTGACGATGTTGCGAAGGTCCAGAACTAAAACAGTGGAAGTGAATAAAGCTTCAGTATGAGCTTCATTCTCTGACGCCCACATACTCACGCAGTGGGTGGTCTCTACACTCATCCCCTCAGTTCTCCTGGCTGTTTGGGTCCTCTGTTGCTGCAGAGTCTTTCGAGCGGTCGCAGCAGTTCGTCCTCTCTGGGTCTGTACGGCACCACGTAGCTCTCCTCCTCCATCAGGATGCGGTTTAACGTGTGCTCATAGTTAATGTGACGACGCACCATCAGTATATACTGTTTCCCCTCCTCTAGGTGGGGGCAGTCACACACATTAGGAACCCACAAGAACTCCCGGTGCTCTAGGCGGAAGCTATTCCGGTAGGTGTGGATGATCTGGACGTCATAACGCGTCTCCTCACCTCTGTACAGCTTCCCAAGGACTTTGCCCCGGAAAACTAACAGGAAACATAGTTTGATAAAAGATTTTCATTTATATGTTAAAGTTAGCATTCTGACACAAGCTATATAAAAACAGCAAAGCTACAAGATTCAATGAAATTTCTGTTTATATAGTGCCAATTCATAACATTACACTTTTCTGACAGAACAGGTCTACACTGTACGCTAATATTATTTACAGAGACCTAGCAAATTCCCACCATGAGCAAGCATTTGGTGACAATGGCAAGGAAAAACTCCCTTTTACCAGGCAGAAACCTCGAACCGAACCTAGACTCAGGGTGGGCAGCCATCTGCCTCGACAGGTTGGATTGAGAGAGGGGGAGAAGGGGAAGAGAGAGAGAGAGCGAGAGGAAAGAGAACACAAAGTGGCACAGTGCATACGATGGTTCAGACTCACCAAAGTCCTTCTGGCAATACTGTCTCTGCCGCTCCCTTCGACCCTTAACCCGCCGACATTTCCCACAATTCCCTGCACAATAAACCAAGCGGAAAAAAGCTCATAAATGTAGTCATGACATAAGTGAGAAGATCTTAAAAATATCTTCACATAATATCCATGCTTGCTTTCTTAATAACCGCTGTGTATACACAAACGCCAACTCGCAAGCGTAAATTGGGATTTATAAAAAGAATCTTGAAGAGGAAATGTGCGTACATTTAGGCAAACTTTGATCCGAACATTAGCGATGCAGATGATGAGGTTTTGAGTTGAAGCCAGATTCCATAATGATGCCCCTCACATTTAATTTCACTTTTTATCAAATAGATCAACGTTATCATAAACATTCAAACCATTATTTGTAGGCCTCTTGCACTTCAGTGACTCATAACTATTCCATAAACACCTTTCAGTTTGAAGAGATATAAGCCAAATCAAATCTTAAATCAATGTTAGGCTCAGTATTTAACCAGCAATGTCTCACCATCACATTCATTGCCCCCGGAGTGCTGAGGAGAGGGTGGGACTGTAAATGATGAAACCATCATTGGTTGTAAAGTCCAAGATTACATCAACTAGCATTAAAGAACTTGTCTTTCTACTGAACGTGCAAAGACGAAACTTATTACTAAATGTTCCTCTCATTCAACTCCTCCGCAAGATAACAAACATGCGTATTTCCTAAAATATCTGAGCACATCTTTGACGTTTATTGGGTCATGGGTAGCTGGGCTGAGTTATGGTTAGCTTTTTGGGGGATGGGGTGGGTAAAGTTGGGGAAAATGGTGAACATACTTCCAGGTGAGGGCTGAGGCAGGAGGTTTCTGTGGTTCTCCTCCCGCTCCAGGCGTGGCAGGATGGGCTGGTGAGGGCTCCTGTGGCGGTTGTGGTGGGAAGATTGGCGCGGCGGTTTCACAGGTCTTAAAACTGAAAACACACACACACTGTTGTCAACAATGGTTTATTTATACACATATCTTTTCAAAGTGAACTGTAATGAAATTATTTTGTTTAATTTTAATGAAACGATTTCAAAGCCCCTGTGTGTTGGATTTGAACATTTCTGACTTACGCCACTTAGGTGTGGCAGAACCAGGACCAGAATCAAGTAGAAGAATGCCTTCTTCAATTCCAGATGGCAAAAATGTATTTTATGTTGTGTACTGGATTTGAATGTATGGTTTAAAATGTTAGTTGCAACACTCTGGATTCAGTTAAGGGCCATGCATTAGTACCAATGAGTAACTCAGACCACCTTTTTTAAATAAACTGTAAAAGACTGAAGAAAATACTAGCACACTTCAGTTCACAATGTTGCACAACAGATCAGAGAAAACAGGAAATTCTTTGTTTGGATAAACTGGGTCTAATACAAATGAAACAGCAGTAGTGTCGAGTCAGATTCTGTTCCCATGAATCAGCTTGAACATATTTCCAGAGAGGCTACTTAGATTTATTAAAGCATTGGATAGATTCAGACAGAAGGCACATCTCTTCGAGCTGCTTGCAGATTTCCATTTGATTGTGAGTATTTAAGGATAGAGGAGAGATTCAGCACATGTGTACTGCAGGCTTATCAGGAGAGATAATCCAGCAACATTCCTCAGCTTCAGCAACCAGGTCAGCCTGCAGATAAACCCTTTTAAATCAAATGTGACCTGAAGATTGATTATTATTTAACCCATTGTCCAGCACACAGGTGTTTTGACTTAATGTGCCTGGTTGCGCCTCCTCTCAGGACTTTGTGGGCATATACAGACCGGGATTGATTGACATTTCCATCATTCTCCTTTTAGTTTGTTTGCTCTACCTGTGAGGATAATCCAGACTGAATTTTAATACTCCCTCCAATTAAAATATGTAATATCACTCATGTGCAGTCAATAAAAAACACTTCTCAACCTTAATATTTTCCTCTTACACTGCTGTTCACTCTAAAATTAAAGCGGTCATCATCTAGTAAGCCTGTGTCAGCAGAAATCCCATTAAAGGCTGTAGGGAAGCCAAACACACAAGTTACTTTCTATCTCAGCCTTTTCCCAAATTGCTTATGATAACGCAGACATATTTGAATAGCTCCAAAATCAGATATAAGATGTCCATCAGATTACTCTAAAGTCCTGTTGCATTATCTAAGTGCTCTACACAGTATCTAAGGTTCCAGTATTTTCCTGATTACCTCCTAATATTTGCCACAGTAACAAGGTTCTGGCAGAGGACTGTTTGCTACTGTGACGGTCCGTCCTTGCAAAGGAAAAGTGTGTGCATATACAACTACGATCAGCTGGTCAAAGCTAGTCAAAGTTAAATCCTAAAATCAAACTATGATGGATGTTTACAACAGACATTTTGGGTGATAATCAAGTAAGGATAATTTTGGCTATTTATAGTGAAATTGATGTGTTCTTGGATCTTGCTGACTAAAATGTCTTACTGATAAAAATGAGGGACAACACTACAAAGTTTTAAGTTGTTAAACAGAGGCGTCGTTAGCTTCAGGGGTTTGATGAAACACTTAGAAACTACCGGGCTAAATGTGCATTTAAGTAATTTACCAGAAATGTATGCCTGCATGTACACTGAACAAAATAAAAAAAGCAACACTTTTGTTTTTGCCCACAAAAGCCCTATTTCTCTCAAATATTGTTCACAAATCCGTCAAAATCTGTGTCAGTGAGCACTTCTCCTTTGCCGAGAAAGCATAAATTCAAAGGGATAATTCTAAGTTAATAAGTAATAAGTTAATATGTTAGTAAAAGTAATACGTTATTAAGTTATCTACTCATCTCTATGTGAGTCAAAACTCCATTGGAGTTGGGAATGACCCAAAGGCATTGTTTAAACAGAAATTAGTGCTGCATAAAAAACACAGCCATCTCCTTAATTTCATTAGGCCACTCCATTAGCACCTCCAGAAGGCTCAACTTTTCTGTAACACAATACGACTTCATCTAGCAAGGTGCTGTGTTAGACAATCAAATACACTGAACAAAATTATAAACGCAACACTTTTGTTTTTGCAAACATTCATCATGAGCTGAACTCAAAGATCTAAGACTTTCTCTATGTACACAAAAGCCCTATTTCTCTCAAATATTGTTCTATTGTTGCTGTGAGGTGGATGGATTATCTCGGCAAAGGAGAAGTGCTCACTAACACAAATTTTGACGGATTTGTGAACAAAGAATTATCCCTTTGAATTTATGCTTTTGTCTATCAATATACTTAAGTGTGATTTAATGGAGCTCGAGGAAGGACTTACACCAGTGGGGTCGAGTGGTGACAGGAGGAGCCCGGGTGGTGGTGGCGGTAAAGGTGGTTGCAGTGGCTGGTTGATCCCAGGGGAGGTAGTTGGCAGTGTGGTGAGCTTGACGCAGTGGACTCCTCCTCCCATGATGGAGGGCGTATTGGTCCGGTGGCAACCAGTACTCATACTCGATCCCCGGGTTTCTGTCTGTCGCAAGCACCTGCACACAAGGACAGCATGGAAACATCTACACTAATCTTTTTTTCATCTACCTTCCTATTTTACCTTAAAATAGGAAGGTAGCGTACAGGGTAAGCTTTGCAATTGCCCTCATCAATATTTATATAATACTTTATTACTTTATTACTTTATACATTTTGGCATCAGATCAGCTCTTGGAGACATTTTTCTTGGCTTTAAGGACACATTACCTATATTCTCTAGTTGAAAAATAATCTCCACAAGATTTGGCAGCGCTGTTCTGGTGCTTTCAATCGTACGTATAGCAGGGATGTCCCGATCAAGGTTGTTCTGGCGGAGAGCCTGATCTAATACCTGTTTTTCCCTAAATATTGACTAAATATATATCTGGAACAACGAAATAACAGGTTAAACCTATTAAATTTGGTAAACCTTATTTGACCCAAATCAACTATTTTCTCTCTGCTATGCAGAGCTTTTTGGGAGGACTGCTCCAGGTGTCCATTGCCTATAATAAGTCCTCATATCCTTGTAATCATAAAGGCATGGCAGCTAAATAGATGACACTAAACCTGATAAACCCCAGCACCAGTCCCCCAGGAAGAAGTCATGAGGGCTGTCATCAGATGAAAGAAACAGGATGCTTACAATCACCATCAGTGTTTTACAGGACGTAAAACAGCAGACCCATGCTCTTACAGTATATCAGGAGGAAGCAATAGTTAACAGCTGTTCGGTCGCTGAGCCAGGTCTGTTTGTGAAATACCTGAACAGGGCCTGAATGGAAACATCCAATATTTATTCAAACAAGATTTTTTCTTACCTTGTGAAATGCTTAACGATAAGCCAAATAACAATTTAACACTGCATTGCACAATGTAGGAAGGTAGAATGTGTTTCTCTTTTACTGGTTTTGGTGCCTGCCTGGCTCAATGGATTGTGATAAAAACAGACTTAACCAGAATGGGCCTGCCCTTTTGCATGCAAACAGGCTAAACTTTATGATGGCTTTCCAACGAAGACAAAATAAAAAAAAAAGCTATAAAACATCAAGACATGTTCACCAGATAATAACTTGGTCCTGTATCTTGGAATCTCACCATTAGATGGAGGTCTTCCTGGGTGGGTCCTGGCACCTCAAAGCTCTCCCAGGTGTCTGCAGAGCGCCGGTACAGCAGCTTCGTCCCGGCTACATTGTACTCGCCTGGAATGCTGATCTTCCAGTTACCGTTGATCAGAAACTGGGAGCGACCGTTCTGGAGCGCTGCATGAAGGAAGGAAGGAAAACTTTTGTATTATTCAGCATTGATAAGTGACAATTAGCTCTCCATATAAGATAAGTGCGTCATGTTGAGGTAAAGGCAGGCTGTCAGAAACAGAAATATGACAGCTGGCATTATATGGCATCTGTCTCTCCTCAGTGCTGGGAGAGAGATTTTCCATGACATGAAACAGAAACAAGTTCCTTTACCTGCCTTGCCCCTGTGGTCAGATAAAGCCTTTATGAGTGTCCCTTTCAAGACCACAGTGTGTCCCATTTTGGGCCTGTTTAAATTTAGTCTCATAAACAAGGATGAAAATAGATGCCCTTGGTTATTATGTTGCATGGAAAACAGAGACCAGATGGGACTGCTGAGCCCCTCCTGTCTCTGGGGAGAGGAAGTAATAGCAAGTCTAGGAATTAATTCTGATTTACATTGCAGGCATGGAACCAGTGACGCAAAGTGAGTCTTCTGCAGAAAGCTGAAACTGGTATACTCAGCAGGCCAGGTGTCCTGTGTGCGTGTGACAGGCCGAATCTTACCTAGATAATTCCTGCTGTTATCAGTGACTCGGATGTGAGTTGCTCCAGCTGGGATCATGGCCACTTCGCTGTATCCAAAAGGTCCGCCTGGCAAACAGAAACACTCAGTTTGAGGCTTGGTTTTCAAATGTTGTTTTCCCCATTCTTAACTACTTCATATAACTAAGGAAAAGTAATTTTTTTTTACAATCTAGGACACACGAGCTGCACTCAAAACAGCTTTACAAGAAATCAAATGAAGCTAATAAGAGAAAAGCCTCACATGGCTGGTTATTTTAATCTAAATTAAGGTGAATATTAAAAGTTAGTACACATAATACCGTAAAGCAATTTGAAATTCTCTTTAAATCCCGATAGCAATCAATAAACCAAATGCTCTGATACAAAAATGAAAAAAATCTGGTATCTGTGGCTTTAAGACCAGATAATTCTGGGTTCAACATGCAGGTTGAGTGGATGCGTCCCTGTGGTTTGGATATGACATATAGCAACTTAGAGGTCAAACAGAATGAAAGGTTGTGTATACAGTCCAAAAAAAAAAAATTATTTTAAAAGGGGCTTGTCACAACTACTTACAGGGAATACTACACGGCACGTAGCAAGCTTTATGTCTTCTGTTGCTCTACAAGAGCTTTGTCAAGTCTTGTCAAGTGCATTTCTGTGCTTCAAGTCTATTTTTCTATCCCTTTCACTCATGTTTTTGGCTCTAGCGCTGCCAAAATGTGGGTGACCTACACTCAGTAGGCTGTGTGTGTAAACCATAGACTGTATAAAACATGGATGTAGTCTGTGTGACTTCACCCATAGGTTTCTGCAAAGTGATTGTGAAGCCAAAAAAAAAAAAATCCTATGCATTCATGAATGATCTTCAAAAAGTTATGGACACATTCCAACAACAGCTGTTTATCTCTAAATATTTTACTGTACTGTTGCCACAGTTCAGTGGTTTGAGAAGTGCAGTTACTTTCACAAAGATTGCGGCAGGGCTTTAGTTTGTACTATGCACTTCATATTCAGGGTTAAGCTTTAAATAACACACTAAATCTCATCCAATTTTTCAGCAATTAGTAAATGATAGTTAATCAGTAACTCACAACTAATCTGGATTAGTAATCAGATAATTATGTTCTTATGTCCAAACACTGGCAGGTTGTGGTTCATATTACAATGCTGTTACAAAACATTGATTGTCTTTCATTTTAAAACCATAAAAATCAGTGATGATTAACTACAATAAAGGGTTTACAGGATTGGTTTACGAGCACAAAGACATAAAATTTATGAATGAGCTGAAAACACAACCATTCATTACAGAGTGATATTTCACTTCTGAGCCAAAAAAAGAGGGAGGGACAGCTCTATGGTTCCCCTGCTGTTCTGGAGCGAAAAGAGAGAGTAACTGTGGTTGCCCCTGCTTACCACTTTCCGAGAGAAAACGTGCACAAGGTTTCTCTACTTCATTAGCTATGTAAAGATGTAGGGTTGTTACTGAGGGAATGTCAGTGACAGACAGGCAGCGATGAGCTTGAGGCCTCTGACCTTATGAGGAGCGATACTGCGTGACCGCCCTCCATCAGTTCTGCCTGAAGTTGGGAAACACAACTGCAGGAAGAGACAAAACCTCCCAAGGTTGCTGATGCGCCCAAACAAAGCAGCCTTTATCAGGCTGTTTTCTTCTTGCTCAGTCTGAGCCATTATAGCCGGCACACAGAGGAGCTGTGTGAGGAAGCCACTGTTACAGAGGTCGTGAGCCAAAATGCACACCAGAGGTTTTGGATACTTTCTATTGTGTGTGTGTGTCCACGATGAGTAAAATCTCACAGCTTTATTCAGTGCTCAGCAAAGAACAGCACATGATCTGAATGAAATGTTTTTCCTATCGTGATCACAGATAATTAAAATGTACTTTCTCTTCTACATCACCGCCAACATTCTTCATCCCATCACAATCTGTGATTATTTACCGTGTTAACTGTTCGAAACCCAAAGACCCAGAGTAGGTTCAAGAATAATAGACTGTTTTTAAATGTTTAATATATAATGTTGATATTTCTGCATAGGATCTTTTTTTCTCTCTCCCCTCACCTGTCCTAGCTTCATTCTCAGTCTCTAGAGAGATAATCGTGATTTGTGGGCTTTACATAAATGGAAAGAAATAGGCCTCCAGCACTTCTCACTTGTTATGGGTGGCAACTGGCTTGCTAGCTTGTAAAGCAACCTTAAAATAAGTAACACATGACTTCCTCTAACAATTTACGTAACTTTACACCAAGAGCACGTTGTTTCTGTTTGTATCTTTAATGTTAAATACAATACAGTTCAACACCAACCTCAATAAAAAAAACACAAACATTATAACCTCTCTGACAGTGTAAATCAAAACTGATAAAAATGTTTTCCTGGTGTACCCAAACACTAAACAGTCCATTTTTGTTTTTTTCTTCTAAATAAAAAGAGCAAATGTTCAGTTTGTTGCATTTTTAACTTGGTTTGGTTTATACTGCATCTACTACATCTCTCTCTTATCTTTTGATAAGCGGTGTATTGACAAACCAAAGAAACCCTCCCTCACTTGATTTGAACAGTCAGAGCCTGTTAGCCTCTAAAGTTCATGTACCAATAAACACAGAAAATGTTCTGGTGGCATTGAGCCAGTGTCATTTGGAGCCTTGACTTTGAGCCTGAAGAACTCTGTGTTCTTCCTCCTCCTTCCTGAAATCTTAACGACTGTAATTTTGGAGGAACTGTTGTTAGCTGAATTTCTTCTTGGAAGGCAGCCAACAGGTTTTCTTTGTTACCATGGTTAATGTTCACTTTATCAGAGAACAATAACCTCTTGACTGAACTTGATTGACTAATAACTCTTGGGAGGGAAAACACAAAGAGGGCCTGGTATTATCCCAAGATCGTGTTGGTTTGAAACTGCTGCAATTGATTCCTCGTGGAGATTATATGATGATTTTGTGTGTGTGTATCCTACCTGCCTCCAGACCGTTGCTCTGGTACACGTTCTTGTGGTGCAGGCAGGTGGTGTTTTGTCCTCCACACACCATGCAGGCATCCTCCTGCTGCTTTGAACCCAAGATGGAGTCACAGCCGGGCTTCTGTGTGACACACACACAAACAAATGCTTAGGAAACATGCTGTTTCTCTGACAGCGTGTTGACAATATGAACTCAACTTCACACATTTTCTGGCGAAAGCTCTGGAAACTTCTGACCTTTCTTTTTGTTTTGTCTCTGCTGTACAGTCACCTTAAACCTTAGGCTTCTGCCATAACTCCACTCAGTCCACTCTCTCTCTCCTTCTCTTATTTGCTTCTCCCTGTCATTTTCTTTGTCGCACAAACATTTACTTTGGGGGGAAAAAACGGCAACTCAGGGCCTCAAAAGAGGAGGACGGGTTCAGAGAGTTGTCTCTGTAAATGTTAAAAATTCCAAAGCAAAGAGCACAGAGGATGAGCTCGATGGTTTATGGCGTGTGGAGAATCTTGCCGCTAGATAGATTACAGTGCCCGCTTTCTTCTCTGGCCTTCATCTCCCGCTCTGCAGAGCAAACCAATCAAGGGGGAGGTTCCCAGGCAAGAGAGAAACAATCTAGGGAACCTATAATCAGCATCCTAAGCCCATTAAAAACACAAAAACACTCAAGGCATCTGTGTGTGCACAACAGGAAATGAATCCTCTCTGACAGAGTAGAAGAGTGCAAGAGGGCCCCACTGAGGGAAGTATGCAAGCAAACTCATCTATATTAATGTAACTTCCAAAGTGTAGAAAAACTAAGTCTGCAACACTGAGGGTTAATTGATTCGTTTTTTAAAATGGTTTAAAGCAGGTTCTCTTCTATCACTTATGGTATGAGATTGGACTAGTACTGAAGCAGCTAGTCAATTAACTGATTAGTCATTCCACAGAATATTAAGTGACAAGAATACTGCTAATGCATAAATTATTTTAGTCACCCATTTCTCTTAATCTTCTCTGGTTTCAGCTTCTCAGTTTGGATTTGAGCATGGCTATGATGTTGGGCATTTTTGGTGGGCTCAAGGGATGATAATGGTGGTCAGTTGGTCACCACTTTGGTCCAGACTGAAATATATCAACAGCTATTGGATGAATTGCTATGAAATTTGGTACAGACATTTGTGGTCTCTAGGGGAGGAATCCTTTAGTGATCACTTGACTTTGAGGTTGGCATCTTTGGTTTTGAGTGGTATATCTAGACACCTATTGGACGGGAAAATGGTGAATGGCCTGTACTTGTAATCAGCCTTTCTAGTCTTCCGACCACTCAAAGTTGAAATGATCATACTGATCAAACACATCGATGGCACAGCCTTCAGGCATTGAGTATCTCTGCCCAAAGATCCAACCACCAATCTTCTGATTAGTGGTGCTCTACCTCTGAGCCACAGGTGCAGTGGCAGCGACATTTTTTACAGACATTCAAGGTCCCTTGAGGATGGATTGTAATAACCTCAGTGATCCTCTGACTGGTCATCTAGCACCACCAGCATGTTATCATTTTAATTTGCCCAATTCTTGTATTTATGACCAACTGCCTGCAAAACTAATCATACTGCCGTCATCCACAGCTGTACAAAATGTAAAGTGCCTAAGTACGGCCTCAAAGAGCTGCTAACTTGGCTGTAGACTCTTAGTCTTACGTGTAGTGACACAATGATGACAATGAATACTGAGCTGTGTTACCCTGCAAGATCAATGTCATCAGTGTTGTTAGTCACCAAAACAACCTATGAAAATTATCCTTCAACTTCATGTCCCAAGTCTTCAGAGGTTTCGTTTGCTTATTATCTTATTCACTATAAGATATTTTAAGTGATTGCAAACTGACTAAAAATCAAAACCATACTTGGATTTTGCACTGTTGGCTTGAAAAAACTAACTTCAATTTATAATTTGAAGATATCCATTTTGGCACAGGTAACTTATGAAGGGCATTTTTAATTATAATCTGACAATTTGATTTCTCTGAAAATAAAATTAGATAATTTGATATCTACCTTGATTAAACAAACTCGCACATTCGTAACGGAATTTGGGAACGGCAAATAAAAAACACTGTAATAAATTCACGCTGCACACACACAAACACACACACACACACACACACACATGCTATGTCCAAACCAGCCATGTGCTCTGCAGTCTGATCTCAATTTGTGTCCTGCACCACTCCACACCAGCTGCAGGCTGCATCTGCTTCCTGTTTCAGGCCCTGTGCTGTTTTGACCTCAGCCTGCCCAGTCACTGGTCCATAAATCCACTTATTTACACCACATACTACACGTCAGCATGTAAACACACATACATATATAAAGACACACATTAATCCTTTGTCAGTAGTGTAAAAATAACTTTGCCTATGTGTGTACCCTCATGTAGCAGATGTGTCTCCCGAGTATTACGTATGTATGTTTGCTATCAAACTGCTGCGGGACCTGAGAGACACAAGTTCATTTCCAGCTATCTCCATCTGTGTGAGGGTGCGGGGGGAGCAGGGGACAGGCTGGATGTGGGAGCAGGACTCTGGACTTTGTGCTGAGCAGAGCTGTAATGCTAACTGAAAGCTGCAGTCCACACTGATGAGTGCACTCTGGTCCTAACGCACAGCATGGAGTTCACTTCTCCAGAGAGCTCCAGTCAGAGTGGTCAACATCATTTATACCACAACAGGGTGGGAATGAAGAGAGGAGAGAGAGAGAGAAACTTTAGCTTAATCCAGCCTCATTTTGAAATCTACATCAGGCCATTAGAAATCGGACAGGTTATTTCAGGCATCTGGAGGTAAAAGTTCTATTTATTTTGTCATAGATAATGTTAGGAGACAGATAGATGGAGCACTTCATGGTTCATCCATCAAATTGTATGAATAACTATCCCATGTGAGGCTTTTTGAAACTGCTTTAATGCATATCTTTGTAAATTAACATTGAATTGAAAGACTACGTTTTGCACAAACCAAGAAAATGTATCAACCAACTCTGCACCTCTACAGAGCTTTTTAGCCTATTTAGCTCTTTGTTTTGGTTCTATAATAAACGTACAGTATAGTTCCCTCTCGCTGCTCTCATCAACCTTGCTTTTAGTAAGAAGCAGCCAGCCATTGCAGCAAACCAGCTCTACACTACCTGTGTACTTTCTGCTGACCACCAAACTGCAAAAAGACAAAAACTAGCAACTAGCTGTTAAAAATATTGGAGCATTTAGTCACTAAAGAGCCAGATATTTTTCTCAAGAGTTGGTGGAGATCAAAAACTACTAAAGGGAAAGTTAATGTTGGACAATGTTGACTAACTGTGTGAGGTGGATGTGCATGTAGGGAATTGTTTGCTAATCCTTTGGGTAATAGTATGCAATAAAACTTTTTGCCACTCACCAGGCAGCGTCCGTTGACACACACCGCTCCAGGCTCCGTGTCGCAGGCTGTGCCATCGAGCACACGGCCAAAGTTGTAGTAGAAGTTGTGACCCAAGGCCAGGCAGCTCAGTTCACAGGGGTTAGAGCCTGGCAGGGAAGACCTTCAGTCAGTGGCTCATTAGTTTATCATGGAAAAATAGGTGAGGCAAAAGGACAGGGAGGGAGGTGGCTGAGACACAGAAACAAGCAGGAGGTAAAGAGAAGCAACTGGGAGAGCAAAAAACTAGCAGATGTCATGGAGAAAACTCATAACCCTTTGTGGATTAAACACCCAGCAGGCCTTACAGTGGAGCCACGGCAGCATGGAAATTTTACCACATGACCGCTAACAAAACAGTTGCACACAAGCAGAAAGAAGCACACTCTCAAGACATACTTCACTAACATCTGCCAAGCCACAAGGCTCTGAGTGACGTTAACCCACAAACTATATGCACCTACAAGTTTGCAGACTGTACACACATGTAGAACACGGTCACATAAATAAAAACTGAATGTAGTATGAAAATAACCATGTGCCTCTCTAGTGTAAACCTTGCCGTCCACATCTGTTTTGGAGTATATTAGGGATTTTAGGTTGTAGTGACTTCAGACTTGATTGTAACTTTGTAAACAATTTAAGCTAAAATTAAAATTAAATCCCAAATGATGTATTAGGGTGAATTTTCCAACTCACTGTCTTGTTGTTTACATCCACTTACTTGGTTGATGAGGCTGACTGAAGGTCTGTGGCTTATGGAGAGCACTAGGCGTGTGTGTGTGTGTGTGTGTGTATTCGTAAAAAAGTTAAAGATATGTTGTTTTATTTTAATCACACTGGCAGTTGATTTCAGTCTCAAGTCTGGTTGGTTGTCTCAAGAGACGCAACCACAGTTAAATTATTTACAGTTCTTTTTCTTTTAAACAAATATATTTTTGTCTGTTTCTATCTACTGCCCGTAAAATGTAAAGAATATACAACCACTTTGTAATGCAAAAATGCCTACATAAAAATCATGTGTGTATCTACACCACTGTTGTGAAAACTTTGTATCTCCAAACAAGTGCTCAGCAGCTGAACAGTGAATTGTCTCACTGACCTCCATGAAAGGTGGTCCATCTGAAGGAGTTTCCAGCCACTAACGGTCTGTCATTGTAGGCAGCACACTGCATCTCTCTGAAATCCTCCGAGCTGGCGGGGCACTCCTGCACACACACACACACACACACACAAACACAGTTCATTCCCTGATAGTTTATCTCAAACTCAACCATAACAACGTGCCTGACACCAACTCTTACCCAAAACTTAACCCTATCCTAATTCTAGTAGTCACCCTGAAACCAAGTCTTAACCCTGCAATAAATCTCCATGTGTTGCAGTGTAAACAGATTTGCTACACAAAACTTATTCCTATCATGAACTGCAACACAGAGAGAAGTTGGCAATTTGCGTTCATTCATCTGAAGCCCTGAGCTAATCACACCGTACAAACTGCCAAATGCACATACATTCAAACATGCTTAAACATGCTGCATCCCATCTGTGTGTTTTTCCTTTAATTAATATGGACCACACTGGCTGTCCAAACACACACACACAGCCACTGACCTCACAGAGCTTTTCTAACACAATAGCAGGTGTGATACCTGACTACAGCATGACTTTGTTAAATCCCTGAGTTCAGTGCAAAGCAGTGTCGTGAAGACACGGGTTAATATGTCAGTGAAATTCCAGGTCACACCCTGAAAGCCTTTGGCTGCTACACTTGCCCAGAACACACCCATATGAACAACTTCTAGAGCAAACATCAGCCATTGTTCTAAAATGTTTGCATCGAAAGTTGTACTTTCATTCAGTGTGAAAACCTTTATGCTGAAATGACCTTGGTGTTGCAGATTTTGTATTGTCTGGGATCTCCTGCACATGGTCCACCCACTGCGTTCCTGGGACACAGAAAAAATCAATAAGAAACTATGTAGTTAGCGTGCTGGTTGCTTTAATGTCTGGTTGAACAAATATGTCTATTGTACAGAAAGCACATATAGATCTGGCAAACATTAAAATACAGTTTATTCAGGTCTCATTCTTTTATTAAAATATATTAAAATATCTGATTTTAAAATAGTATTTGCAGCATAGCCACTCTGTAGTCATTTGTGTGCCACTAAGGACAAAACAAATTAATGTCAGTGTAGTTTAACATTGTAAACTGTGATCAGTGTCCTCTTGCAGCAGGAAACATCGTCCGGGGTCATGGAGACATTAAATATGTGTGAAAATCTGTTTTGTTAAAAAGTGTTTCAGGAAGTGAAAACTCTTAAAATCCATACAGAATATTTTGTTGGCAAATTCCCGTATTTAGATACATTTTAAATATTTTAGAAAAGCATTTGAATCCTGTTCCAATATATATTTGTAAGACATGATACTTAAAGACACGGGTTCAATACCCCACTGTGACCCATCCACCGTTGTGTCCCTGAGCAAGACACTTAACCCCTCGTTGCTCCAGAGGCGTGCGACCTCTGACATGTATAGCAATTGTAAGTCACTTTGGATAAAAGCGTCAGCTAAATGAATAAATGTATTTAAAATGCATGTCGGATTTCTCTGAAAATACAGTTCAGAAACAGACAACACACACATCAAGGCTTTAAGTTGCACTTGTTTCTTAAAATCATTCGGAACTTATTTGGAATGCATTATGTCTCTAAAAATATATCTTCCTTTCCCTTCCGGATATACTGAGCTGTGTTACCCTGCAGGATATGGCTGTTATTTACCTGGTGATGCAGGTTCGTGTCCTCACTGAGGCTCCGCTCCCACAGCTACGTGAGCAGACAGACCAGCCGCTCCACGTCGCCCACTCGTTCCTGAAGTGCAGCTGCCGTCGGGCACGCACCAGACGCCCTGATGAGGACTCACCGGAAGGACCCCACGCAGAAATCCAGGACTGATATACAAATGACAGAGAGAGAGACTTTAATGCTGATTTTTAAACCAAGCACCTTTATTTCATGGTCACGGAGTAAGAACCAACGCAGCCTGGCACCTGTCAATCAAAAAAGTTATGTCTCTCTTTAAGCCTTAATATTTTCTTAGTGGAATAATAATTTTCAAAATTGCCACCTAGACACACAATAGAAATAAAGGCCTGATTGACACCTGCTCTGACATTATTGCACATTATGCATTAGAGCATTTCAGTTACTTTCTCTTGGAAATTCTTCTTTAACCTGTTAGTTTTACTTTTCTTGCTATTTTTTAAATCTAATCTAAATTGTTTAACTTCTTGTAGCACAAATTTAAAGAAAGCAACGTAAACTCTGTCTGCATTGTAAACAGTAACTTTTTAGATAAATGACAACATTTTAATAAGTCATCACTGTAAATACTGTAAAATGTTGGTATTTGCATCTTGATTCAATGTTCACAATTTTAACACTTTTTCAGAGATCACACTGATCAGCCTCTATCCTGTGCTGTTGGGCTTCTTTCTGTTTATATTGTGCATCTTGGATGGAAAAAGTATGTTGGGGGGACAACACAACACAACCCAAGTTATTTATAGTCCCACAGGCAGATAAATTTGTTCAAAGAGTACATGGTATACAGTAAAAAAAATAAATAAATCACCTTGTGAGCCTGGTGGATCAGGATCATCAGAGCCAAACAATAAAAGTGATTAGAGAAATCTCAATGGCGCTCCTCAAACACATTCCAGGGTTTTTTGCCCTGGAGGAGGACTGAAACTGGCAGCGTTCCCACCGGTTTCTCATACAGGAGCTCGCTCACACACACTTTTAACTCTTCACACACTCATTCAACAACTGCTTCGGCTGCCTTTTTATCAGAAAGGGCTTAAGTCAGACTCATCTGGAGTATCTGTTGTGCAAGACGAGAATTAACACTCAGGCCAGATGTGAATAAGAACATGTGCAAAACTTGAACTTTTAGCGCTCGTCCTAGTTCCTAGTCCCTCAGCTTTCCTCATTAATATGCAAATGTATGCAGCAGGATTCTCCACTATGTTATCAGATCTACTGTAAAGCAGGAGGAGTGTGCTGTAAGTGGGATGTTTCTGTCATGTTTGTACTTGATTTATTGTGTTGACAATAAGACTTTTCGTTATTAATAATCTCACAATTTTTTTTCCAATTACCATATTTTTTATTTAGTCTGTAAAATTAAAGAAAATGGTTTAAATAGAAAGAAAGAGAAAATTTTAAATCAAATATAATTTTAAATCAAATAAACAGAAAAGCAGCAAATCCTCAAATTTGAAAAGAACAGCTGATGCATTCACACTGGACGTTCATACAATATGAGTTCAGGTTCTTCCCCCACAAAAAGGCCTGTCTGTTCCTTAATTAGCAAACACAACTATACCAAACAACACATCCTGCTGCAGACGGATGAAAAATTATAAAATTTTGAAAATTCCCAGTATAGTTTCACTTGTATACGGATCAACAACCACAAATGAAGCTTAAATGATTATCTTTAGTTCAATTAGTAACTAAGTTTCTTCATCAACAAATCCAAATGATGGATATTAAAACAAACTTTAAAGAAACATTATTTATAAAATGATTACTGCAAAGCTTTCTGAATTTAATGAAAATAATCTTATTATATCAAAGTTATGCATATTTTCAAAGTGCTGTGAAGTGTTGCAAAGCATCAAAGCACCATAAAGCATCGCAAAGTGCTGCTCACGTCCTTTCAACATTCATCCATCCATCGTCAACCGCTTATCCTGCGTACAAGGTTGCGTATGCATATAACAGTGCTTTTCAATTTAATTTTATTGACATAGTGCCAATTCATAACATGTCTCAATGCACTTTTCATATAGATCAGTTCCATACGGTTTATAAAATCATTTCCAGAAACCCAACAATTCCCACTATGAGCAAGCACTTGGCCATACTGGCAGGTAACAGGCAGAAACCTCGAGCAGAACCTGGACTCAGGGTGGGCGGCCAACTGCCTTGACCGGGTGGGTTAAGAGAAAAAGAGACACTTTTTATTGCTGATATCCATAAATGTCCCACATCCAAAACCTCAAAACAAATAAGCTGCACTTGTAACTGTTCGACTGCAGCTGACTGCTCATGTTGTGTTTCTGTAGTAACAGCAAGAGGACAAAAACCTGAGACTGACCGAGGCTGTTTGACTTTGCGAAGAGGGTCGGTCAGACATGCACGTACGCAAACACATACACTCAGCTGAGAGCGAATTGTGCTTTGACTCTCCATCATTTTCCACGGCAGGGTCACCTGAGGCTGCCCTCATTAGTGTTACTGCCGGCCAAATTAGCGTTGTTAACAGTTGGAGATGGGGTGGGGCTGGCATTCTAGATTAATGAAAGTGACCTTTGGCCTTTACAGTGCCCCCCCCCCCCACGCATATACGCTTCATAGCCTTTGTATTCTCGTTACTCTTAGTAAAAGGATAAAACCATCTGTAGTTTGACATGGTTGCAACTAACTCGTCTTGTATTTTGCATTTCACGATCCATTTTGTCTACTTGTCTTGTCCTCATCTTTAACTGGACAAATGTCGACAAAAGAGACGTTGCCAGTGCAGCTGCAATGATGACTGAATGCAGAAAATGTTTCAGCAATCTAAAACAACTTATGGCTTAATTTTGTTTTCCTCAAAGTGTCATTACTGGCTTACTGTTATCTTAAGTGTGTTGACCTTCCCCTACATTCCTGTGTTTGATGTGACGGAGTGGTCCAGGGGTAGCCTATCTCTGTCTATGTCTGGTTATTCCAGTCGTGCCTGGGGGAGGGTTGGGGGTCGTCTGTCTGACAACAAGACAAACAGAGATGAAAGATGGATGCTGTAATCTGAGGAGAAAATTGTGGTGTGGCAGCAATCAGAGCTGGGAGAGACCAAGAGAATGCCGGCTTATGGGGACATTACCATTCCCAAGAAAAAATACAATCAGAAGACAAACATGCTGCAAAAACAATCAAATCTGCACACTCCCAGACCTCAGCTACCAGCAGACCTGCTCACATCTGATGCTGGTCAAAGGGCTATGATTGGTTTATTATCTAAATGAGCTGGATTTTCCTCTCTGGAACCTGAGAGCGTTTTTTTCTCTGCACAAATTTGCAAAATATCAAATGTGATAAAAAGAACACATGGAGGCAGGAAAAAGTGGGGAGGCTGTGGTAAATGGCCTTGGGTCCTGACAGGTTAGGACTACAGGGCCCCATTTACATTCAGTGTGGTGCACTTGTTGAAACACTGTCATCCAGCTATTAGCTTTGTATATTTGCACAACACAAAGGTTGAAATATGGCTGCCGAGTGACTTGCTGTCTCCAACTGAACTCCTTAAAGGAGATCTTAAGTCAAAGATTTTTAATAAAGACATAGATTAAGGCTACAATAAACTATTAAATGCTATTAAAGAAAAATTCTCATATTAACAATGAATCATGAAACAGACTATCTTCAGTGATAAACCCACAGAAAATTACATCCAGTTATGCAGCTTTATGGAGCTTTAATTGGAGCCTATTTTAGTTCATTGTTTTGGTTTTACAACACATTTCCTGTTTGGTTCAGGCTCAGGTGTGTCTCTGTGTCCATGAAACAGTGGTCACTGTATACTACCTGCCCAGCACCAATCAGCAGACAAACATAGTTAGAGACTAGTGAGGAAAGTGGAACATTTGGCAGCGAAGGCAGCACGTATTTGTCTCAGGAGTTGTAACAGATCAAAGCAAGAAAGTAAATATTGCACTTATATTGATCAGGACAGAAAAACTTGCCTACATTCAAATTCTAATGTGCTATGTGCTGAATGCAACACACATAAACCAAAATCATAAATTTATAATATGTAGATGTTGTTTGTCTGGCAGATATTTGGTCAGAAATTATGAATGCATCTTTAATTGCTTTGGGTTAGAGCTGAATTAGTCAATTAATCCACAGTAAAATAATGTGCAACTATTTTAATCATAGATCAATCACTTTTGTAATTTGTTAGAGCAAAAAAGCAAAACATTCTACATATTCTCACGTTCCAGCTTCTCTAAACAATCTGCTGCTTTGGACTTTTGGTGAAACAAAACAAGACATTTGAAAATGCCACATTTGTTGTAGCTGAGGGTCAGAACAGTAAGAGGTGTTGAAAGTGGGCAATTCTGTTGAGACCATGCAATGACTGCCTGACTTACACTCTGCGATGACGACAGGCGGACGGGAGCAACCAGCAGCAGGACAAAGGTCAGGGCCTGGCACAGAGTCAGCTTCCTGGAGGCAGGGAGAGAAACAAACACCGTCATTCGGATGGTAAAATCACTGTTGCCGTTTTACATTTCACAGGAACGCAGGAACGTGCAACACAAAAGTGAAGACGTAGTGAAGTTGTTACAGCAGAGGTGTTTGGGAAGGAGAAAGGACAAGAGAGCAAACAAAAAGACACAACTGACATTTCAAACAGCAGAGGTCATTAGGTCATAGATAATATCTACAAATAAGCTGCCACACCAATGTGAACCCCTGTGGGCAGAAGCCAAAGTCAGGAATGCCCCCCCATCCAGCAAGTATCATTAATTTCCCCTGCCCAGTACCCCCACCCACCCCAATAGTGTCTTATTAACTCTCACACGGCCCGAGAGGGAGGGCCCGCCAGCCTGACTGAACCCCAGCTCACCCACATCTGTCAAACTGCTGACCTCCGTTACATAAAAGGATGCTAGAAAACCAGTATCACTGCAGGTGATACTGGCAGTGCAAAGGTGTGGGGGTACAAGTGAATGTCTGAAACTGTTTGTGTCCGGGGTGGGAGGGGTCACCTCAGAGTCCTCACCCCTTTGAGGGGTGAAAGACTGATTGGTATGTTTAATTTGTTTAGATTGGTAGATGTTTTATTATAGAAAGTGTATGAAACCCATGACTGAAATAGTAATCGTGTTACTTTTATTTAAAACTTTTAAAACTATTATTCCCCTTGCTGAGGACCCCCCTGGAACCACCATAAGGACCTAACTGTGAAACCCATGTTTTCTATTTATGCATATGCAAATAAAACAAGGTCATTTGATACAGCAGCATATATTTGCATATAAAAAACAATTATGGCAACTGTATTACCAACATAATGAGTCACTTCTTAGTTGCTACCAGATAAGACATCCGCTAAACCTCTTGTTGTGTCTCTTCTGTTTGTTCTTCTGGTTGCTTCATCTCCTTCTTTACCTCGGGGCAACTGTGAGACACAGATTCTCCGTATGTTTCTCCCTCTGATTCATCAAACGACAAGTGCTTTTTTTCTGAGAAGTGCCAGTGATTCTTGGAAAGCCCCTCTCTTTGATTGCTTCCTGGCACCGCTTTACTGCAAGCCGCAGTGTGTCACACGTTTACGGGTCTGTTTTGTGATGGGACAAGTCATTTTCATTAACGACACATAAGGAAAAACATATGAGACAGGCAGCATTTGGAAAGTTACAGCAACTAAAACTTCCTTTGCCTTGACCTTCTCTCCCACATCTCACTTGTCCTCCATCAGCTTCCAGCCTGTCTGTCATTTATCTCTCTCTGTCTGTTTGGTCTCTTTTATCTCTCCCTAGGCCATAAACACAGATCTGCTCCAAAGCCTTTGGAGTTGGCTCAGTCCCAGGTCAGTAGTTGCCCTGTCCAATTAAACGATACACATCTCCCTCACATTTGGCTGAGCAGCCCTTCCCTTCGGCTCCCGTCCTGGCCTTACATGGGGGAATTTATATCAAAAGGAGCAAGGAAGGTCACGTTGACCGAAAGAGGCACTGGGCTCATAAATCATGACTCATTTTATTCCCAGCATTCCAGTTGCATACAAACCAGTAGGTTTGAAACATTTACTTCCTCAACTTTCCGTTTTTTGCTGAGCATTTTCAAATGTAGATACTGTTTTAAATATTTAGATGTTTTTTTTACACCAATTAAGCAATTAGCCTACTCTTAAAAACTTGCTTGAGTCGTGAACATTAAGTCAACGTATAAGATTCGGCCAGAATTTTAGTTAAAACATTCCAAAAATGACCTAACATACAACAAGTAACAGCTCTGACGTCATGTCAAACATGTCTGTGTATTGTGTTGCAGAGTCCTGAGCTCGTCCTGTCTTTTAAGACCACTTGTGCCTCGAGACGCGATAGTGAGCCACTGTAGCGTCCAGTCTGCCCTCAGTACAACAAGTAGAGCTGCCCCGAGAGCTTGTCAGTCTGCACGAGGTGCTCTCCCTCACCCTCCTCTACCTCTTGTTCCTCTGCTACCTCTACTTTTTTGTCGCCTGCCGCTACTTGATCTTCCCTGTCTCTGACTGGGCAGACTGGTGTGAAATCATTGTTGTCCAGGGACACACAGGAAGCAGAAGCACTGCAAAGTGCTGTGAAGTGCTGCGAAGCAACAAAGCACCATAAAGCATCGCAGCAGAAGCATTGCAAAGTGCTGCTCACGTCCTTTCGACACTCATGTTAACCTATTGGGCTTTTCAGACAGAGCAAGCGCATGAAACACCCTAATAAACTACTATAAATGATATGATACACAATACATGATATAATATATGATTTAAATGATCTGATACTGATAAAGGATTGAATATATGCATGCATCACTATAATTATTAGAGGTAGTATTTCTGCTGTTTGTTAGAGTGCTTTTTTAAATGATGTGCTTGGTGCTTGCGATGGTGCCTTTGACTTCTTTATTGCAGAAGAAGCAATGCCTGCTAATCCAGCAGTACATAAAAAGATTAAGATATGAGGTTATTATAAAGATTAGTTGTAACATTACATGTGATTAGAAAAGAGCAGAAGAGCGGAATCACTTGAAGTAGCCTGGCTGAGGGGGAGGAGGAGGTGAAATGCTGCCTCCTATTGTTTGGAGCATGTGGTCAGGAATTACACATTGAAATGTAATGTAATGATTGTGTAACTTTCACAATACTAAATGCAGAGTACTGGCTCAGTCTCGCCTCTCTCACCAGTGTTTTTATCTAGAAGCAGCAGGCAACTGTTTTCAGCGTATAAATGCTTTGATAAACCCACTGTACAATACTTATAAGGCACAAAATGGCAGACGATCAACATTGGTGACCCACTAAACAAGCTAAAAAGTCTGATATTTCCCATTGTTTGCATGATATGCATCCATTTTCACAGATAACCAACACCTATGAGCAGGATTTAGATTTCATAAAAGCTAAATTACACACATAAATAGTTTAATAAAAAGTATGTTGTTAAATTTCTTGATTATTGCTGTACTGTAATGTTTTGTGAGGTGACCTTGAGTGTTCAGAAAGAAGCCTATAAATAAAATAAATTATTATTCTGCAAGACAAAGTAATTTCTCTCAGTTTCACCTGATGTTTAGCTTCAGTTTTTGAACATGAAAAGACAGCAGCACTGGTCACTGACTGGTTGGCCCCCTCCCTACAGGGGCCCTTAAAGAGGTGAGCAGGGGTCAGTCCGCCTCCTCCTGCTCTCATTAAGACTGTAGCAGCACATTAGTGAATAGCTCTGGGGCAGGGAGAGGGAAATGGCTTTAATCAATACGAGACTAGTTGTTTATTTTGACTGACATTAGTCGCTCTCTTGACCGTGGAAGAAGAAAAAACACCGGCCCCACCCAACACGAACAACACTAAACTACTCTCATTATTAAACATTATGAAACCATCAGCCCATGAGCTTTAATTTGAATATGGCTGCTTATAAATAGAAAGAAGAAAGATTGTGTGCTAATGATTTATAATTCACTTATGATCAGTGAAACTGGTTACAGATATATAGAAAATCTGTAAGCAAACTTTTATACTCGTGCTCACATTAAATGCAGGTGAATACATTTTTAAGGATATAAGTTCCATTTCACATTAACAGCTATGGGTCATTAAGTTTGTTAGATGACAATATGAGCAGAAATCAGTGAAATCTCTACCAAAACTAAGCACTCGTAGTTTTTCTGTTCTCTAGCTTTGTTTATGATTTCTTTTCTGAGTGTGATTTTCTGAGAAATATCTTCTTTTTCTCTTAATATAACATTGCAAATTAAATATTTTGGGGGTTTTGGACTGTTGGTTATACAGAACAAGTAAGTTGAAGATATTCACTGGCGGCTCTGGTAAATTCCAATATTCCATAAAATATTTTCAGACATTCGATAAAGTATTGATCAATAAAATAATCAGCAGACAAATCAATAATGGAAATAATAGGTACTGTATTTGCAGCTCTAATGTCCTGGATGTCATATTTTCCTAGTTACAGCATAGTAACTGATTTAATATCTCTATCAAAGCAGACCCGTTTGCATGTTAGTTTCCAGGTAATAAAAATATAAGTAGTGAAACTACAAAGCAACACCACTTACACACAACTCACATAATGACAATAAAAATGTTTAATTGAGAAAAAAGAAATCCTAAATCTGTAAGGTAGTAGTTTTTGGTCCAGATACACATATTAAATTACACATACATCCAATTCATTCCTCTCACCATGTGTATTTTGATGCAGATTTGGATTTTAAAAATGTGATTCTAGGATTGTGCAGCTTTGGCAGAGATAAACACTTTCTAATTATGGTTGTGTTATGATGAAAGTCCCAGATTAAGACCATAACCAAAATCCCATGAATTGACACTTAAAAAAAAATGCAATCTGTCCACATGCAGACAGCCAGAGAGACAAAAAGACCTCCATCCAGCCTGACCAGCAGAGGTAAAAGAGGCTGCACTCTCCCCACTGATAATTCCTCTGCAATGACTGAACTCTCAAACCTTTCCTTAAACACGCCCTGACAGACAGGTAGCTCTCAGATTCCCACTCTGCACAAATAAACAACAGTTATCATGCAATTACATTGAAGCTATTATTGTGCACTGGTTAGAGTGCATTGCAGCTGAGAATGTGTTCTTTGACCTCCGTGAAGTTGTGAGTCATGCCAACGCAGGAGACACCTGACTGAAGGTCCCTGCTCCATTAGTTTCTTTGTGTGGGATTTTGGTCTAAGTGTTTCTGTATGGTGACCTACAGGCGTCCTCGCTACAAAAGTCTGCACACCCACCAAGTTAGGAAAAGTAATACGAGGCCTGTCTTAACCTTTGACCCGCCCAGCGTCTGGGAGTGCCTGGTGGAGGGTCTTATGGTTAGATGGAGCATGCTGCTGAATGAATTGACACAACTCTGAACAGATGTTCTCACTGAAGGCTCTGTGGTCAGCTCTGACCCTTGTATCTGTATTGACTATGAATAAGGCAGCAACAATTGAACGCTCAGTGGCTGCGGTCAGCGCGCATTAATAAATCAATCCTCTTTGAACACAAGCGGAGGGTCTTTGTGCCTCAACAGCTGGCTCACTTGAAGATGTAGTAAAACATTTTAGCAAAAAGAAATAAAATACTATTGAATGTCAGGACAAAACACCCAGAAAGGATTGTGGTTAATTACTAAATGAAAGACAGACATTGGTATCGTGTTGTTGGTTTTGTTGTTGCCAAAATGTCTAGACTCTGCCTCTTGCTCAACTATGGTCCCTTCCCTTCACTTCGCTTCGCTGCACTTAACTCACTCCTTCCACGACAAGGAGAACAAACTTGGTACACCGTCATACCTCAGGGATTATAAGATTATCTTTTCACAGCCACTTTGATGGAAGCTGAGCCTCTCAGGTCATCTACAGTCATGGTCTCATAACATGAGAAACATGCTGAGATGCAAACTTGCAGACTAACATGATGGAAAAACTTCTTCAACCAGGAACATGTCAACAATGAAGCCCATCTGGAAAAGGCTGAGGAAGAGGAGCAGAGAAAGGAGAGGAAGACTGAAAAAAAGGCTTCATGTCAACTTCTTCACTTTACACGCACAGACATTAGAGCAAACACTTTTATGTAACACATAAAAATGCTTGTCTTCATGCTGCAAATGTACCCGCAGGATTGGGAGTTTCTGCATTTTGTCTCATTTTATAATTACAGCTAAAAAACACTAATGGTCCAGAGGCAAAAACCCCAGATCTGGATCACCACCAAAACCAAATCAATTGTTCCTTGGCTCAAAGCCGACATATCCATCACATTTCATGGAAAATCTTTCACAAGATTTTAAAACATCCTGCTGACAGACAGAAACAAACTAACTGCATTTAACCGCAACCCTAAATCTGCTTGGCAGCAAACCTTTCAAAGAGTAAAGCACTTTCATGAGGTTGATGCAAAGAGACACAAACACAGAGCAGTAAACTCTTATCTGACTGAACCTTGTCCATCAGTAAGCTCACTGTCGGAGAGCAGCGGCCACTGTGCACAAGCGAATCAAGATCAGGACCTGGTTCAAAGTAACCTGGAAACAGTAGATGAGGAGGATGTAGAAGTGACATGACATGAGAAGCATTCTTCAGCCGAACCTTCTGTTAGTTTAAAAGTTGTGAAACTGTCGGTTTCGTATTGTTAGATGTTTTATCTTTGACTGCATTTCTGACTGGAATCTTTGGAGGATGTAGACACTCAGACAAAAGGTAGAGCAGAAGTGAACCTGTTAGTACAAAAGGTTGTTGCTGTGGCAGAACATTATGGTCTGTTTCTTGCAAGTCAAAAGTTTAAACCTCGACCATTTGTACATTAAAAAGAACAATAACAATGCGCACTCAAAGTAAAAATAGGTCTTTTTCACAGCAGACATTACCCTTTGTGCACGTCATTAACTAACAACATTGACATTTGTGTAATAGCATATTTGCTTTCTTTTAGACAATGTTAGGTGACACTTCAGGGCTTGAATTGAAATTAAACTCTCCTGTTTGGATCATCAACAAAAAAGATAAACAACTGTGTTGGAAAGTATAAGTTTTTTGATAACTCAAAGGTAAACGCCGGTGGGCATAAAATCGTAAGGGAACTTTATAGTGGTTCTTTAAGGATGACTCACATGACACACATTTCAGTAAAATATACACCCCAAACAGAAACTAACAGTCCTTCAGTTAAATCCAGATCTGATTTGTCCAGGTGACTGGTGTCTTATCCATTGCAACTGAGGCTATTGTATTATTTAGAGCCATCTGCAATGACAGATCTTTCTTTACTTGTGGCAAATGTTTTGTTTTTTTGTTTTTTTACCTTGAACCACCCTAAAACAATGTGCTACCTTAGGTTTTTCATTAACTGTACCTTTAGTTTAGGAGTTTAATGTGGATCAGGAGCTGTGTGTTCTGTACTTTACTGTAAAAGTATACTATTTCAGTTTTTGTTGAGAAAAATTAAGAAAATAGAGGTTTGGATAACTATTGGCTTTTATTCTTCATCATGGGTCAATTTGTGAAATAGTGGGTGCCTAAAGTCCACATCCACAGAGAGGAAAAGGATTGAAATTCCTCCCCGTAGGAGAGCGTGACATCACTGAGTGTAACACCAAATTAGAGTCCTAGTTTTGAAGCTATATGCTCAGTGTTCCATGGTGAGTAGATTAAATCTGTTCATGGGGCTGATGGCTCCTTCCCTAACAAAAATTCCTCCAAACATGTTATCAGAGAGACAGAAAATTTGCCCTGAGCCAAATCTCTCTCTCTCTTTCTGCAGACCAGTCTGACAGCGGTCCATCTGACAGACAGCCTACACATTTCTCCTGACACATTACATCAAATGCAGCCCATAAAAGGGAAAATCACACTTGGGTGTAGAGTGCAGACATGTCAGCATGTATTGTTTCCACTAAGAAGAGTAATCCAGAGGACGAGAGGGAAATCCATGGCCTTGGTGAATTCAAGTTTAATATTTTAAGAGACTTAATGCTCAGTTCGAGCAAAGATTCAGACCCTCTGCAGTCCTGTGTGTTTGTGTTCTCTGTTGCAGGGATGGGATTAGATCAAATATGAGCTGGGTATTTATAGTCGGTGACATTTAAGAGATAAAGGTAGTGTGGCAGGATGGGGGGAATGTAGAGCCAGGAGTTGCAATATCATAGATACTATGTGGCAGAAGGATTACCTCACCCAATGGCGGACGTAGCCAGCAGACTTTACGTCCAGAGAAACCATACACACAGCACAGGCAAGTAGGAACTGCTTTAAGTCAAGTTGCTAAAGCATGACACAAGTGCTCTGAGAAAACAAATATTGCACCCAAAACAACTCAGAAAAAAAGTGTTTTGAACGAACACTTTTTCCCCTGCTGTTCTTGTGATGAAGTGAACCACAAAACAAACAGCTTCCAACTGGAGGAGAAAACAAAACTCAATTGTTGCAGGAATTTATCACCTCCCATCCTTCACATTACTGCTCCAAAAAACAACTTTGCAGCTCCTTGCAAGCAAAATGACCCAAGGTAAATATTTAAAGCCACCACATATTTCCCCCTGAAATGCAACTCAATCAGATAACAGGCTCCATTTGGAAAAAAAAAACCTCAACCTGGAATTTATCACCTCCCATGAAGGCCGGACACCTCTTATGAATCATCCTTATTCCTTTCTCATGCGATCCTTTCTGCAGGCAGCCAGAAAACATTTAAAGTTCAATGTCTTACCTCGTCAGTAGTGAGGACATCCTTGTGGATTTGGGTTCAGGTATGTTACATTCGTTGTCAGGTGCAGTTTTTCTCCCGTATCATGGTGTGAAACGTCGCGGGTCAGATGCACAGTGCATCACAGCTGCAAGCTGCTCCGACTCACTGATTTCAGACCCAACACCATCCATATCCTACTCTCTCCTGCAGGGTTCTCCTTTCTATTCTTCTGCTTTTTTAAGGGAAACGTTAAAGAAACGTGTTTTCAATCTCAGCTGCAGGGCTCGTACTTCCAAACAGCTGTGTTACTCAGGTCCCAAAACACATCACATCAGTTTTGTCTTTCGGGACACGTGAAGTTTCAGAATCTTAATGCTGGACATTCAGGTGCAAAAAGTCTTCTCTGGCACGAAGGTCCCTTTTCTGTTTCTTCTTTACGCTAAAAATCACTAGTTTTGATTCATATGGGTAGGCATACATTAATCCAAAAGAAAAAAGTACATTTTATGTATGCAAGTCTCACTATCGCCTCCAGGCAGGTGTTTTCACTTGTGCCCAGTCCTGCACGGATAAGACACTCCTGCAGGTAGCTCCAGTAGTTGCTTCTTCTCTTCTCTTCTCTTCTTGACTTTCCTCTCAGCCCAAGCGGGTCCAATGTGCAAACGGTGCGGCAGAAAACCCGGTAAAGAGCACAGAGAGCCACCGGCAATGCCCCACTACTCCACAGTGCGTGGCCGTGTGAGCGTAGTACTGCTCTCTCTCTCTCGCTCTCTCTCTCTCTCTCTCTCTCTCTCTCCACCTGAGCGTTGCATTCCTGAACATGCCTCTCTCCCCCAATCACAGCCCAGAACACTGACACTGTTTCCTTCAGAAATCCTGAAGGTGAAGAGCAGTTGCTTTACAGTGCTGGAAGATAAACTCAAAAGTTTAAATAGAAGTTTAAAAAATACTACATTAAACAATAGACCATTCATAAATTAACAGTATTGTACAGTGAATATAATGTACCCAAGCACCAAGAATGAGAATGATTACTCCATTAAATAACCACCAAATCGGAGATGGTGCAATAATGTTATGATGAATGTTAAATCTTAATCTAAAAAGTAGTTAATATAGCCATGAGATGATTTTTTAAAATCCATAAAGGTGTTTCTGTGTAGTCAGATGCAGTATATGGCTTTTTGTGTCTCTTATGCTCCAACAGACAGTTGGGGAAAAATTAAGAAATATGTGTGATTCATATGCTGTGGCCTTCACAGTCTCTAGATCAGTTGAACACCATAATAACATCTTTCAGAAGAATCGTGTTCCTCCCTCCAGTAGAGATTAGGGGAATCTATTGTTGGGGACTCATGGTGGCCCAACACCTCACTGAGAAACTTTGTTGGTTTTTGCTTTAATGTATCAACCAACTGCATATTTCCTGTTATGTCCTGTGACCATATTCCTATATGGCCTTATGTAGTCTAGAGGCATTAACAAACCAAAGGGCTGCTCAGAGCCCTGCGTCCATGTTAGGTGGTGTCGGAGCTAAAAATGATGCGCTGGGCCCCTGTTAACCTCCCGCTATTTTTCTTTGCTGTAACACTTCCTGGCCTCAGGTAGTAAGTGCAGTAATTTAGGAATATGCAGTACAGAACTAAAATAATGAGGATCTTGAACCCACAATTTTTTTTTATTACATTTTCACAAACCAGTCTACACACAGCAAGCCTGACACGTTTGTTCTGTTATGGGGCCCCAGGGGCATTTCCTGCTTTGCCAAAAGAGGAGGAAACTATAAATAATATTCATATATTTTTTTAAATAAACAAATTATTTGTCACTTTTTATAGCCATATATCTTGTGCTATATCATGAATCATATTATTATGAGGAAGCTTATTGTGACTTATTTGCTTATGGTATTTTCTTTTAAACACAGTCATTGTAGAGTTTCCAAAAGTTCCTTCATGAACTTCTATGTTTTATGGTAGTCAGTAGAGTTTACAGTGACCTCATTGAATAGCTGTGAGTGTAACTTTGCAGTTTTACCCACCTCAGGCTTTATTGTACATCACACACACACACACTCTTTCACCCTCTCCTCACCTTCCTCCTGCTCTGTGACACGTCCATTTCACCAGGTAGCTGCTTTAGGGAGACAAACATCTTCATCTTCATGTCAGGACACCTTTCTGTGTTAATCACTCCATACCAGCTTTCCTTTTTCTACAGATGTCTACAATTCATTCTTTGTAACTGTATCCCTCAAGCATCTCCTTTGTTTCTCACTGAGCTTTACATTTGAAGTACCATATTCCCTTTTAGCAGGTTTTGTTTTACAGTTGGAAAACATTTTGTGATGTATGAGGCAGTAACATGCAGGTCTCCAGTTTCCTACATTGCTTGTACAGCAGTACAAATGGGACAGCTCAGTGATGGTGAAGCAACCACACAGCCTTTCTGTGAACTCAGAGCACTGTCTCCACCTCGTTCTGTCACAGTCTCTTTAAGCTCAGCCAAGCTGGAGACAATTCATCAGAGCTGTGCTACAATTTCAACACTTTCGACCTTGAGTTATCATCTGGAGCCATGCAGACATAACAGAGGAAACAGGACAACATTAGTTTTTTTTCACAGGGGTGTTAAAGCTGTCTTATCTGTCTCAGAGCCTTCACTCCAACCTCAACTGTCAGTTTGCATTATTACTAGTTAGCTTGTTTTTGACTATATGTCTTGTGTGCTCAATCAGACCACTTACAGACCAGTACACAGGATGTGATGTTGCAAGCATTTGAAGCCCATTACAGATGCCAAAAGAATGATTTACAAACCTACACATGTTGACTTGCAGACAACATGAGCCTGCAGCGCCATAAATGAGCATCAGACAGGCAGTGGTTACAGAGTGCAGGTGTGTCACTCAGGTTATCCGTTGCTCTTGTCTCCTCAATAACACACATGTTTGGTTTAAGTATCAGGGGATGCCAAGGACTAGAATATTTCTCTAAAGTAGAAATGTAGTTGCTTGACACAAAATGAAAATTGTGTTATCAAATCATATTTTTATAAAAAAAAAATAGGCTGGCAATATACTTTATTTTTATTGCTGTCAACAAATCCTATTATTTTTAAAATAAAACGCAAATTTGATTCTAAAACAACTGCTCACCATAGTTTTTAAGCAAACATTACTCAAACAGGAGCAAATAGTGCATTTGTTGGGGACTATTTTCAGTGGCGGACTAATCCACATGTGGTGCTCTAGTGAGTATTTGGGGCAGCAGGGTGATGTATGTGGGATTGAGTCAAATTAAACAGTGTGTGTTTATGGTAATGAAGAAACGTGTCACCGAGAGCAACAGTGTGGCTCACTGATGTGTTTTTAATAGTTTCTGAACAACAATGGAGCTCTATGGCACAGAGGAAGAAGATATATCAAGTCATGTCAATTTAAAAAAACAGGGTTATGAAGTGCTTTACAGAGGGATGGAGGTCTTGCACACAATACTTGTTAGTAGATACATATTGGGTTTCATTCTTTTCAGTTTCAGTCAGAGAAGAAGAAACATCTAATGTCATCTGACTTATTCTTTAATACTATGGTTTACACTTTTCGGCACTGTATAGAAAGCAGTTTCTGGGATTCACCTTTCTGGGATTCAAGAAGACAAAATCTGGAGCATGCATGTGATACTGACATGCTGGGTCTTTTATTATTAAAAATGCACTAACTTTTACAAGCTCTAAACAAATTGCCAGATCAACCAGGACTTTAATTGAAAGGGTTATAACTTTATGTACTTTATTACTCAAGGAGAGCAGAAAGTAATCCCACAAACGGCCACTTTGAGTAACAATTACTTAGTTGCATTAGGGTTAAAATGGCATTCCAACATTTCAAGTTAACTCAAGTGTGTCAATAAATCCAGTTTCCTGCCTTTCCTGCCTTTCTGCACTTTGGAAGAATTGGTGTAATTGCTCCTTCTGCCCACACTGGCTGTGAAGACATCTCTTCCCAATGTAATTCCAGTGTAACAGATCAGAGACAAAATCCACAGTCGTCCCTCTGTGCAAACAAATACTCAAGTTAAGCTGAGGCTAATATAAGGCTTATGTAGCCTCAGCTTGTAAAATCAAGTGGGTATCTTGTAAAGCTAGGTTCTTCTCAACATGACATTCCTTCTGTGTGTCACCATCACTTCACTGCAGCGAGGTAATATTGTCCAGGGAAACATGGTGAACACAAAAAGGGAATTTCACACTGAAATATCTTTTAGTGTACCCAAGTATTATACATCTTGTGGTTTTGAGGCCTTTACACTTTAGGTCTTGTTACAATATTTTTTTTCCCTCCCATTTGTGGTGTGAAAAGATTCATCACCATGACGGTGTTTTTCATTCTACAGAAATGTTTTCGTCAGCGGTGAGTGGCTCCTCTGTACCTGTGTATATAATGATTAGTCAAGTGCTCCAAGGCCTCTGTGCTTGTCTCTGCTTGTAGAGACATTTTCCTCGGCCCTCCCTATAGTTCCCCCATCTTTACTGAAAACTCGTCACTGTTTAGTGCGCCGCGTGTTTACTGAGAGACAGATAGCCAAGTGTTTACAGTAAATATCACATTCATGCACGTACGCTCTCTCTTTCTTTGTGTGTGTGTGAATTTTGCAGCCTACAGTGTGCGGCTCTGTAATAAGATGCTTCTGAGCTGAAGAGGCACTTTTATCACTCCTCTGAGACAGTAGTGGGGAGGTGGGTGGGGGGTGGAGGTGCTACACACCCTACCCCCCCCCCTTCAGGTTTTTACTGAGCTTGGCATCCTGCCAGTATGAATGGAGAAACCTGATGGGTGGACAAGGTGTCTCACACACTGATGAAATACTGGCGGTGGTGGTGCGAAAAGTGTTATACATTACATGCAGCTTTAACACAGCTGCAGCTAGGAAATTATATGTGCTTCAGCTTGTATTTTATCTGTCTGGTGAAAACCTCCAACTTACATCTGACTTTAAATAATGAACATGGATGATTAAAAAGTGCATCTACAGGGCTACCCCACAGGGCTGACACATCTTAACATAGCGACAATCAAAGTAACTACAAAATCGTTAATGTTGAAATCACGGCAACCTGCTCTTTTGGTTTCTCTTCAAAATTTTCACCATTTTTGTTCTTGCTCTTTCAGTCTGCTGCTGACCTTACTTCACATGCTGGTATACTGCCCCCTCTGTTCGTATGCTTACTTACATCTTGCAGTCACCTAATAATTTTGAGAATGCATACAATCAACGCCCAGAAAAAATGCAGCTTTCTGTCTGTTTTCTCTTACTGATGTGCTCTACCCAAGGGAAAAATAGCTGTATTATTGAAGGGCAGTCACAAGGTGAACATTTTGGACTGACATCTTGCATGATTTATTTTTTAGGAGGTACTGACATGCGCCAAGGGTCTGGCCCATATTCATATTCATTTATAGCATTTAAACGAATCTTTTCCAATATTTTCTTTTCATTCACATGTATCCCATCATTTTATTATCACTGTGTTTTTGATCCAGCTCAAGATCTTTGAATGCCCAGCAGCTTAAAACTGTGTATGTAACAAGACAACATGCAGGTCTGAGCAATACAGACAGGTGATTAAAACTTGGATAAGCGTCATCAAGCATTGTAAAAAAATATATAATAAAAAATATATATATATATTGTCTAGAGCAGCATATTTGTGGATTTAGTAAACACACAAGCATGTTTGTGTCT